AATCAATGTGATCGGATATTAATCTCAGTGTTACTGAGCTCTGCTAAAGCCTGAGTAGACTGATAAATCAATGTGATGATCAGTTATTAATCTCAGCGTTACTTAGTGGTAGGAGATGCTAAATGCACCCGCTAGGCACACTACCCATGATGCATTGCGCAAACACTTAGAGCAGAGTGTTCAGAAGGTTTTATCCATAGATATTCATACCTACATGCTGCATTGGGTCCAGCCAGGCACGTCAACGGCGCCGCCATTTTAGGGAGGTCAGCATCGCTGCTGGACTGCATTCAGTACCGTTACAGAGCAGCAGTTTAAGAAAGATACTGTCTAAAATTACACTATTTCAGGAATATCACTCTCAGAAAGAGGGACAGGATTATATAACGGAGGGAACGCAGTGATCCACACTCATGTCTGTGTGGTGTTTGTGTAGATATGGCCGTGTGGTTAATGAGGCACAGAGAACCTGTTGATGTGATTGTTTTTCCTCTGGTTTTATATGAAGTTTATTTCATTTAATAGTCTATTCAGGATCTTAACTTTATGTAGTAGTTATTTATTTATGATGATGGTTGATGCTTTGCAGCTGGGTAAGTTATAGCATGTCTTAATCTGTGTAGATATTCATAATAGAGTAACGTTAGAACCTTCTTACACAAAGCTGAAGTCAGATTCTTACCCGTCAGCAACTTGTTCGAATTTTCCCGTTCCACCTTAAATGGTGCAGCTTCAGGCACCAGAAAGTTACTGCTGCACCATTTAAGGTGGAAGTAGAAGCTGACGAACAGGAAACCAACTTTAGCTCCGTCCTTCTTACTGTGTTTCGGGGGTTTATTTTATTTTTCTCTGTATTAAGATTAGAAGTGATTCACTCACTGATGGATTTGCTGATGTGTCTGATTGTGTTTCTCACGCTAAACTCGGTTTTTAACATCAGGTCCAGACTGAATACTCTCCTGCTGGTCCGGACGGCTAATTATCACGATCAGTTATTAAAGTAATAAAAGCTACTGAGAGCAGATCCGTGCAGCCTGGATTAATCTGAGTCTGAGGATTATAACTAAACAGACTTGGTGAAAATCGGTTGAGTAATAAGGAAGTTGTGGCTGATTTAATCCTGAGACTCTTCGTCTCTCAATACGAGTGAATCTGTTCACAAGCGGATCTTGACCTCTCCAACATGGCGGACGCGCAGACGCATCGCCTCACATAGAAAACAACAGACAACGGGAATGGATATCTATGGTTTTAGCGAGCTGAACTGGCTAATTCAGACCATCATCAGAGGCTAACTGACCTTATTATTCAGTTCAGGTTTACATTCTGTGGACTTTTGTGCAGTTATGGTCTGAAATGTTAATAAAGTGGATCAAAAGGAGCTGTTTACGATGTGTTAATGCTAGCCAGTGTCTGTGTACAGCAACTTGTACAGCAAGAAAATGTACTGAATGAAGTCTGAAATTTAAAGCTAAATTTAAGTTGAATTTAAAGCGTTTAATATCTGTTCTGTCAGAAGAGCAAGTCAGCCTGAACAGTGGTATATATTCCACTGATGATGCTGATTGACATTGCTTTGTTCCGCTGCATATTCACTGTATGAACTTAATCTGGCCAACAACATGGATTTAATATCTCAGTGGCTATTTTTTTTTAAGATAATGAACATCCCACACAAAATCAATGTTTGCATTTCTAACCACCAAGAGAACAGTATAAAGGCACAGAGCCCATTTCTGAATAAAATATAAAATCATTTATACACAGGAACATTACGGTGTCATATGTATTTTATGTATCCATGTCCATTTAAAAATAAATAAATAAATAAATAAATACAGAACATATCAAATTACGCAACAATATCTCTTTCATGTTAAACAATTTTCATCCATGTAAGAAAAAATTCACTGTAGTTTCTTTTTGCCTCCAAATGTCTAAATATATCAGGTGGAGGAACCGTCCAACCATGTATGCTGATTACTGTAACCATATGTGTATTTTTTACTATCAAAAAAGGTGATTTAGTCATAAAATTCAAAATAAAACAGTGTGACATGATTTGACTCACTGAAAAACTTCTGTCCACAATTTTTACTTCCTCAAATGTCAGGAAGCACAACCAAAAACAAAGGACTTTTATTTTAACATGCTTTAAAGGGTGACCTTCATGGTGCAGTGCCAAGGTGACAGACTTGGAACAGATGGTGAATGAGGCCCAATGTCTTTACTAAAGAACGTTTGAAGAACCGTCTTTTTTAAGAGCGTTAGGCGAGCGCAGCGTGTTAGATGCAGGAATTAAGAGTCTGGCTGGTGACCAGTGATTAGTGTCAGCTCAGCTGCCAGTTTGTAGTGTAATATTTCTCCATCTCTGTGTTTCTGATTCACATATTCATCCCTGTTTGAGTTTTTCATTTCTTCTGTTTATGAACAGAAGCACAAATGGATCCAGTCTAGCTTTGTGTAGCGTGATAAGAGGAGATATTTCGGAAATTTGAGTTTTTTCCTAGATAAAACGTGTCTTTCTGTGGGCCTTCATGCTTCCCAGCGATAAACAGGTGAGCCTTGAGCCGGAAAAGGCCGAGAACCCGTTACCGCAGCGTACGCACAGCATCGCACTCACAACAGACACAGACAAACGACACCAAAGCTGTCTAAAAATCCTCTACTTTATTCAAGATAAATGTTTTTTGTAAAACATTCAATAAAAAAAAGTCATTGCTTATTGCTTATTCATTAATCTAGTTCTTGATCTTATGCATAATCCCCCCAAAGCACTCTCACTTTTAATACACCGCGAGATAATTAGACAGTTTTCTAACGTCCTATATATAAAAACAGAACAAAATCAGAAGTAACAAATAAATTAACCCACACCCTTCGCCTTGCTTCGCTAAACAGATGTGCATCTGAGTGTTAAAGCGATAGACTGGGGCGAAAAAGCAAATTAACAAACCCCCACCACCTCCATCGTACCCCAAACACAGTCGACGTGGTTGCTTCTTTAGCTTTGCGCTGCAGAAAATAATGGAAGCGTTTTCATTATTTTCTGCACTGTTTTTTAGCTACGCAGCACTTCTGTCCATTTTCATAGATTCTAAAGGAAATGTGGTGCTAATCGGTGGGACGTAAGCTTACTTGTTAGCTCCATTAGCCTCGTAGCATCAGTGCTAAAGCCAAAGAAGCAAACCCCAGATCGACTACATTTGCGAGAGCTTGCGAATTCGCTGTCTTCTCCACAAACTATCGCTTCACGCCTTGGTCTGTGTGCAATCTCGGAGGCTGCGGATGGTTCGCCAACTCCTTACGAAACGCATACATTCTTTTCTTAAGGAAACTGTGTACAAGGCAGTATTTGATGGTGAGTTCGGAAAGGTGTCGAGGGGGTCAAGGGTGCGTCTGAGCTTTTCAAAGCGGTCACCGCTGATAGAACCATAAATAAATAAATAAATAGGTAGATGATCATAAATAAGTCAATAAATTAAAACAGATCTTATCTGTACAGAATGGTGCTCAAAGTGAGAGTGTCATGTGTGGTTTTCTAATTAGTGCACCGGCCCGCTGGACAGATTAACAGACTGCGGAAAAAGGGAGGAATTAAAGTGATAGTTTGCCGCAATTCCACCCACACTTCACCCTTTATCCCATATGGAGTCGATCAGCCAAGAGCTGTCTGGTGTCTGAAGTTTGCTTCTTTAGTTTTAGCCCTGAAGCTATGAGGCTAATGTGGCTAACAGGTAATGGAAGCTTATACCCCACCAATTAGCATCATGCCTAAATTAGTACACACTTGCCTTAAACTGTGTCGAGTTCTTGGGTCTAACAGACTCAGTCGAATGTGGTACAGCAGTTTGAGTCAAGCTCATACAGCCATACTGGCTGTTAACTCTCTCTCTCCATAGCAGCGCTGATGCTTCAGTGTCAGTAAATGTTAGTTTTATCAGCTGTTCTTCTGTAGAGTCTCTGTTCTAGTGTGGTTCTGTGCTCTTCCTCACAGTAACTGAGATCTTCCTCGTCTCCTCTTCTGTAGAGTCTCTGTTCTAGTGCGGTTCTGCGCTCTTCCTCACAGTAACTGAGATCTTCCTCGTCTCCTCTTCTGTAGAGTCTCTGTTCTAGTGCGGTTCTGCGCTCTTCCTCACATTAACTGAGATCTTCCTCGTCTCCTCTTCTGTAGAGTCTCTGTTCTAGTGCGGTTCTGCGCTCTTCCTCACAGTAACTGAGATCTTCCTCGTCTCCTCTTCTGTCTTCAGTGTGAGAAATGAGGAACAGTCACTCTTCACTCCAAACTCTTGGGAAACTGGGCGAGTTTTCAGATTTACAGATCTGCTGCAGCTCATTGTAAAGTTTTTCAGAGGAATCCGGGCAGTTTCTAGACTATATAGGACCAACTGGGTGAACCAGTCTGCTACAGCGCCACCCTGAGGCAGAGCTGTTAGTTAGTTAAGAACACCAAAGACAGAAGTTGATTGTGGGTGAAGCAGATAAACACTGACACTGTAACGTCATTATTAATTTATTTTCAGGATCCCCCCAGAATTTTGTTTTTGAGACATTAAGGGGGTCCTAGAGATTAATCAGGGTGTCCCGGACCCCCCCAAGACCCCCTGTATTTCACATATGGCATCACTCCCATTACATATTACCTATTTTATCTAAACTAACATTAGACACCAAACAAATCGTGGCTGATCAAATACACTTGGTGTAAGAAGGAAATCTGTGTAACTCTGATTTATGGACTATCGCTTTACTCATCGTGCCTTTTCAGCAGCCCATCAGGCCTTTTCCTGGCAGTGGTGACGTTGCTTGAAAAGAAAAAGCGCAAGCAGCAGCGACAACAGCGAAATATAACGGACTAAAGAAACTGCACTAACTGCATATAAAGATATATTGACATTTATGGTTAGAATAATAGTTAACGCATGGCAAAGTTGCAGTCGAATCTCGCAAATCGTGACTGTTTGGTGCTAATGACTCAGTGTGAACGGGAACGTGTGTGTGTGTGTTTGTGTGTGTGTGTGTGTGTGTGTGTGGGCTGTTGTACATTCATGGTGAAAGGGAACAGGGTGCAGGTGCGTTCTGTCCTGCTGGGCTTTGGGGCGTTTCGTTTTTTCGGGGAAGACTGAGGGACGCTGACTGTTTTTCCTAAAGAATCACGCACTTCCCCTTCTCCACCCACGGGTTATTCTTCATCAGCTCCGGGTTCAGGAACGGGTCTTGAGGAACACACTCCTCAATCCACTTCACCAGGCTGAGGGACAGAAGGAGAACATCAGTGTTATTACTGTCGTTTAGCTACACACTGTTAAAAAGGGGGCAGGTTTTAAAGGGGAATTCCACTGATCTTTCAGAATTCCCCCATAACTCAGTGTGTGAGGTGTAATCAGAGGGATTCAGAGTGGTTTGGTGTGAAATGGTTCAGATGTCTTTACAGTGGTGGTGATGGGAACCAGCGGTCGCCATGACTACAACACAAATATAGACATTTTATTTACTATCCAGAACCACCAGTGAACCTACACGAGTCTTCTGAGTTTATATGGAATGTTGATGATGGAAAATAGTGGAAAATCTGAAATAATAAGTTTTCTTTGGGGACTATTTTGCCTCACAGCGCCCTGCATGTATCCCTCCACCATGAATGGAGTTTAAGTTCTCTAAACTATCATAAAACAGTGTCTCAGTCATCAGGCAGTGAATTCATAACCATTTCATGTAGGAACTTTCTGTGAGGGAGCTTTTAGAGGTGGACGTCTGGTTCCTATCACCACCACTGTGAACAGCTCTGAGTCTGTACGTTTCTATAGAACGGAGCGTCTGTTTACCAATAAAACCATCTTAGATGATTAAGAAAATCTAGGTTGAGAGCTGTAAAATTAAATATTTAAAAAGTGGAGTTGTGTGAATGTCAGGATTTATAGGCACCTGCTGAGTAGTTATGTTAGAGAGAGTTTGATCAATACTCAGTACTGGCAGATACTTGAGTAGAGGTATCGGTATCAGGAGGGAAAAAGTGGTATCAGTAGATCTACAACTACTATTACTACTATAATTACTACTGTTCACCATGATGGAGACCCTCTGAACCCCTGAACCCCTGAAACTTCACAGACGTCATTTACGTCAGATTTATTATTCAGTAACTACATTGGAAACAATTCAAACTGAGTGAGATAATAAGTAGGAATGGAAAGCTGGCGGGTCCATCGCTGTTAAAGGGGAATTCCTGCATGATTAAATGATTAAGATCTAAACAGAGTCATTCAGAGTGGTTTGATATGAAACACTCTGGAGTTACAACATCAGAACCAACCAAACAAACCCGCTCCTTTTAGCCTGCTAAGCTAACTTTCCCTAGTAAAGCAGAGGCTGATATGAAACTCCAACACTCCAGCACGTGGGAGTTGGTCTGAAGCTCATGGCGCTGACTCATCAGATTTGGCAAATCGAACAGAAAACACTGGACAGATCAAAATAGACGGAGAAGGAGCTCCTGGGAAAACGACAGTGAAGCTTTCTGGAATAAAATGAAGCCTTACAGTCAAACCCACTCACTGATCCACAGTTATTTCAGTATGAATGGGTCTAATATTGCACTTTATTCTGCTAATGCAGCAAATCAGAGGGATGTGGTCATCTGGAGATAACTAAATGAACCCTTGCATTAATACAGTTAATACATTAGCATTAGTAGAGTTATAAGTCTGCATTAATACAGTTCTTAAATTAGCATTATTAAAGTTAATGAATCCAGCATTAACAAAGTTATTATCATTAATGAAGTTAATAAGTTAGCATTAAATAAAGTTTATAAGCGAGCATTCATTATGTTAATGAACCCATGCATTAATAAAGTTAATAAGTTTGCATTAATAAAGTTAATAAGTTTGCATTAATGAAGTTAATAAGTTAGCGTTAATAAAGCTAATAAACCCATCGCTAATAAAATTAATACACTGCATTAATAAAGTCTGCATCAATCAAGTTAATAAGCTTAATTAATCAAGTTAATGAACCCATGCATTAATAGTTCTAGTGCGAATCTATTTGCATTAAAAAAGTTAATAAGTTAACATAAATCATGTTAATGAACCCAGCATTAATGAAGTTTGCATTTAGTACGTTAGTGTTAATAAAGTCATAAATTAGCAATAAAGTTAATGCACCCATGTATTAATGAAGTTAATATGGTAGCACTAATAAAGTTAATGAGTTCATAAATTAGCATTATTAATTAAAGCTTTGATAACTCCTGTCTGTTAGAAAGACAGAACTGTTTTTTGTATCTATGGTCAAGTTACACATTCTTTGACTTTTACATCTGTTTATGCATGTTTTACAGTGTTTTTGTGTCTCTCAGATCATCTGACTGTCTTTTATCTCCTTTTATCTCTGATCTTTTCTCACTGTTCCCGAGTCTGTTATGTATATATGACCTGTGTTGCTCCACACTCAGCTGTGGTGATGCTGTGCGATGGGCAGGTTTATTAAAGCTGTCTAATTCACCCCAGGTGAGTTTAAACTAACGAGCTGTGCTCCGTGCGCTTCATTAACGAGGCTGTATCCCCCACCGGCCCAGCGCAGGGAGATAAACCCCTCACACATCAGTTCTGCTTCAGTCTAACTGTCTGTACACGGTAAACACACCAACCAGCTCATCTTCACAACACAGGAGACGTCGACTTCAGCGCTGAACCGCATTAATGCAGCTCAACAAACCACTATTTTAAAAAATATCACCAAAATGAATCCATCTGCATTCACGAAGGTTTTATTTTTAATTACTAGTGTTATTGTTACTGTCATTATTGCTATAGTAATAATTAATCGCAAGCTTATTTTAGCTCACACTTAGCTCACCAGTAGTCTGATAATGCATTAATAATCTGACTTAAAGCTCAATCAGAATAGAATACGTCCATGTAAACACCTCAGTCGGAATAGTCTAGTCTGATTGAGGCCATTCAGAATACAGTTCCTATCCGACTGATCGAGGTGGGTAATCCTGTAAATAATCAGTTAAATAGAAGAATAATATCCGTGTAAACGCCTGTATCTGATTACATTCCCTATCGGAAAGTTTAAGTCCGTTCTGATCATGTTCGTCACGTCATAGTGAGAGTTTATACCGTTCAACATGGCGGAGCAGAAACTGGTCTGCAGAGGAGACGAAGTTCATGCTCTGGTCTTTAAAAGACGGCGGTGGGACGGACGTCCAGCTTATGTGTCTCAGAACACGACGTCTTCCTCTCGGCCTTCTTTAATAAGGACATGTGAAGGACGTTTTCCTGAGTCTGACATCATTTTAAAGCAGTTAAAAACACAAGCACTGCTCACTGCTGCTCATCTCACTCTGACTGGACTCACGTGATGCTGGTTGTCATGGTAACGTCTACACTAAGCGGTTGGATCTGATCACTTGTAGTGAGCATGTAAACGATGATTTTCCATCAGATTGTTGAGTAGAGTGAGAATAAACACCTCAGTCTTAATCTGTAATCTGAATGTATTCGGTCGTATTGGATCTTTACACGTAAACACAGACACTGTTCTTTATGCACACATTCAAACTTGCCCAGCAAATGCTCTGTTTCTGTATCTGTCTCTGTATCTTTGTGATGATCCAGCTCAGAAATCCAGTTCAAACACTTCCTGAATCTGTAGAGTCGCCATTTCCATTCCATCTTATCACGAGATCATACGAGACTCACATCCGGAGTTATGAGCCTATGAAGAGGGGCTGAGATACACGTCATCTGCCTCTCACCGTGTGGAACTGGTGGATTCGTGTGTCCGTCTACATTCTGTGTGAAACTGACCGATGGACACTCAGGAAATCACTAAGGACTGACCATCACGCCGCAAACCCTTCATTCTTCATTCAGTCCACATCGGAGACTCATGTGAAATGGCGTGCAGAGTTTACAGCTGCTGAAGCTGCTGCAGCGGTTTTGGAAAGTAGTGATGAAGATAACGGAGCATTTAGATATGAAACATATGAGGATCATGTTATATGAAGAGCCTTTAAAGGAGAGTTTAAGAAGAGATGAACAAATCGAGACCTCAGACCCCAGAGAATTAACCGTCATGGTTCCCTTTAACACAAGTTTACTTGCTGGTCGCTCATAATAGTTTCCCTTTTATAGCGTTCTTTACGCTATGCTGAGCGCTCCACTCTCCTCAACACAGATTTTCCACTAATCTGGCCGTGATTGATTGGATTGATGCTGTTTCCGTCCGGTGATGTCATCTACAGATAGAATTACTGTCCTCGTCCGGCATTTATGTAACATGAAGCGCTGCAGAGATGAACACATGAAAACTGCTCTTCTGTTCAGACACTAAACCACTCCAGCAGCAGAAAAGCCAGATTTACAGTTACAGTGTGGTTTTAAAGCTCAAGGTGCAGCAGATCCCAGCTGAGTGTTCAGGAGAGACAGCAGGTGTGTAACCATCTGGGGTGTGATTGTTCTGCTGGACTGAGAATTTACTGACCGACCACACAAGGAAAACATGGTGTGGACACAAATAAACAACAATGAACACAAATAAACAACAAAACAAAAACATCTACAAAAAGAAGAAATGTACACAGTGAGATACAAGATATTTTTATTGTCACTGCACAAGTACAATGAGATTGGAGCCTTTAGAGCCTTTGGAGCCTGTAGATGCTGAATTAAAGGTAAAACTGTAAATTATGTGAAAATAAACAGACTTATAGACCATAAGGTACAAAATATAGACTAATAATGTAAATATATAAACAGAATAAGAACAAAGTGTCCATAAAAAGAATAAAGTGACCCTAACCCTCTGAGCTCTGAGGTCATTCTCTCTCGATTTGTCCATCTCTTCTTAAATCCTCCTTTAAAGGCTCTTCATATAACATGATCCTCATATGTTTCATATCTAAATGCTCCGTTATCTTCATCACTACTTTCCAAAACCGCTGCAGCAACATCTGGCGATTAGATGTAATAAAAAAGGGCGACTCTACAAATTCAGGAAACTTTATTATCTAAAAAATAGAGAAACATATATAGAAACCAGAGACGGAAGGATTGATGCGTACTGGTATCCGATTTTCAGCACAAATATTTGATCAGCTGATATTTATCTTACTTACTGATTCTTGAGCAGCGATTTACTACAGGAGTCTGTAAAACTCGCTCCCTGGTGTAACTTAATCATTTTAAACCTCAGTCTCTGACAGCCTGTAACTGTTTTAGTCTAGTTTAACTTTCCTTTCTCCTTTTTTTATTTTATTTATTTATTATTTTATTTTATCTTACTATTTCATTGCAGCCGTTGTCTTTGACGTTAATTCTTTTACTGTTGTATTCTAGTAAATAATTAGATTTTTCTAAAATTTTAGTTTTAGTGTTATTGTTTATTATCTAAGTTGGTTCTTTTACCTACTTTTAATGTGTTTTCATTATATATTTAAGCAGTAGAACACAGAGGGAGGGTGTTACTGTGAAATAACATCACTGTGATTTGGTCGCCGTAGATCATCACAGCCGTGATGTTATTGGCGATAACACACTCCTCCAGTGTTCTATTGCTTTAATACAACAGTTAAATAAATACAGTAATAAATTAATAAACTGGGCCGTGAACGCGGCGTTTAATATGTTTTAATGTTCGCAGTTCCTTCACCAAATTATAGTTCCTTAACAAGCAGCTTGTTGCTACATCAGAGTAACGAGCTCCGCCCACTCGCTGCACAGCCGGCAGTTCGTTCTCCAGCTCCTTACACTGAATTCCCAAACGGTCATCCAGCTTTTTTTTTACTGCATCAGTTTTATGGATCAGTCTGATTCGGTCAGACTCTGAAGATCAGACTACACGTTTGGCGAATGGTGTTGGGTTCATTTCTGGCTGATTCCAGGTTGTTTAGCTGTTCTTCTGTCTCAGCTGCCGACTGAAAAGCTGCTCAGTGGTGATGACAGTTTGGGAATTTAGTGTCGTCTCATCTTCAGAGTCTGACCAAATCGGCTGTTAGAGTTGGAGTGATACAGTGTTTGTGATGTTATGGTGAAATAACCGCACGGTTAGAACGCCTCTCAACCAATCAGCTGTTGTATAATTTATTAATATTTTATGCTTGTTATTTTTTAATTTATCTTCTTGTCTAGCTGATCTTCATTTGTTTTTTATTTTCATGTTTTCATTAATTTTACAGTTAATTTTAACTTTTTAAATCTTTTTTAATCTTTTATGGTCACAAAGATCTAAGATCAAAGAGTCCTCTGCCTTGGCAGTCCATGTCCATGAATTTGGGGGGCGGGGCTTCTGAAGGAGCAAGAGGTGTTTTGGTTATTCATTCTCCAGAACCACATACCTCACCTGCACTGCAGAGATTTTACTCCAAGAAATTTTGGCGCATTCATCATGAACACTTCAGCCAACGAACAGGGTGGCTGCTGCGCTCAAATGATGTAGAAAAGTATTTATTGGGCAGCGACGATATTTAAAAATGTTGATATCCAAATTGCAAAAACTGAAAATTGGTAAAACGCTCACTCCTCTTAGTGAAAACCTCCATGTTTTAGAGCTCTGCTCATTCACTCCTAACGGTAGCCACAACGGCCCCTTTGGGGTTATTACAGCAGTTTAAATAAGTGTGTTTAAATAAACAGAAACTTTGAGCTAAAAACCATTAAACAAAGTCCTTCGTGTGCATCTTGGAGCGATGGTCCGACACACCGGTGGGCTTTATCCTGACACAACCCCTCCCTCGGCTCCTCCAACGGAGCTCTGAGCATGAACTGAGCGCACTCAGTGGACCTGGAAGTGCTTTTAGCGTAAGAACAGAGAGCACACAATCGATTCCCCATAGACTTCCTGCCAAGCCCAACACGGCTGATTAGGAGCGGATTAGACAACAGCAGAAGGATGTTATGAGACATCATCTTCTGAATGTCTTTTAAAGTTATAGCTTAGCAAAAGAAACTACCCCTGTCCCCCCCGACCCTCCTCCAAATGTAGCTGATCAGCCAAGACACGTTTGGTGTCTGAGGTTTGCTTCTTTAGTTTTAGCCTTTGGAGCTGAGAGGAGTAACAAAAGCAAACACTCCACCAGTGTCTAAAGCTACGTTCACATTACGAGCCTCGTTGCTCAAATCCAATTTTCTGCTCAAATCCGATCTCTCTGACAGGATGGTTCACACTGGTTTAGCTAAGTGACTCAAATCTGTCATTAATGTGACGAACCGGCGTCCTGAAATGATCCTCATGAGCTCATCCTACTCAGTAACGTCACGTGAATGAATCACGTTCATCATCAGCACAAACTAACGAGCAGAACGAGCTTCGCTGAGAAGATCATTAACTCTGATCAGCTCTCAGCTTCATTATTAGAGCGAGACGAAGGAGAAAAAGGTGAGATGAGCTGCTTTTCCACCGTTTACAGGCTTTACATTCTGTTCAGCGCTGCTGCCATGGTAACAGTAAAAAAAAACACACGAATTCCGATCTGAGCGTCACATTAAGGTCACATGGCCACGAATCAGATACGTATCTGATTAAGGACCACATATGAAAGTGGCTCAGGCCGGATTTGAAAAGATCAGATTTGTGTCCACACAGCTCTGAAAACCTCAGATCTGAGTCACATTAGGACAAAAATCGGATTTGTGCCACTTCAGCCTGGTAATGTCCGCTGTTCAGTAATAGTAGACTTGCTCATGTGGTTCTAACACTGTCTGACACACTATGGTCAATACCAGGGGCGTCAAATTGTATTGTTCTGCACTTGTGTTCTGTGGTTTCGTTTCACTGTGTACTTGTATAGAGCTGACATGACAATAAAGCCTGACTTGACGTGACATTCGCATTACAGTTATCAATAATCTTAACGTTAGTATTTGCATGTGTAGGTGAATGTTACATTCTGTAAGCCGTGTCGGTGCAATACTGGCTACCAAGTTCCAGTCCATTTTTTAATTTGAAGGTCTGTCTCGTGTGGATAGTCGGTGAAAGGTTTCTCTCTTATAACCGTGTGATGTGCTGTTGTGACTAACTCTGTCATCTGTCAGCGGTCAGGACCAGCTAGCGGCTTTTTTCACGCAATGCGAGAGACCTGTCGTGACACTTGAGTGAGTGTTTTTTCTAAAAATTTCTGTTCTGACAAAAAAGAACACCTTTTGTCCACCTTGTTAGGATATTCCCTACAAACTTTACAGGACATCTCTGGTAGAATGCACCTCTGTCACATTTTACACTTTTGATATTAAACAAAAAGATTTTTCCAGACTGAACTGCTCTCTGAATGAGCTGGCACATCCTGCAGCAAGTTAAGCCTTGAGCATTTTCTCTACAGTCATAGAAAACATGGTAACTCGCAGAAAACTCTGATTACATGCACTGTTATGTTTCACTCCAGCCAATGTGGACATGCACGCACCGTACGTCCTCTGGAGGCAGGTTTAAACAAGTTTAAGGGTCCGTCGGCAAACTCTCAGACACTCAAGGTTAAAAGTTGTTTACTGCACACTGCTGGGGTAAGATATCATCCCATAATTTATGTAGAGGAGGGCGTTATGGCAAAAATATAATACTGCAATACGTAAAATAATTTTCATACGTCGCGATATTTCTTTTTTCAGACATCTGATCAGTTGGAACAAAGAAAAAAGAACAAACATTTTAAAAATACTATCAGAAAGTAAATGTGAACCGTGATTTTATTCAGTATTTGGCACTAAAAGAAAACATGCAGTTGGTCAGTTTCTGTCGACAGTAAGTACTGTAAGTACTGTCGATGTACATATGTAAAGAAAAGCATGTCATGTCATAATTTCTCACAATAACAATATATATATATATATATATATATATATACCACTGACAAATATATATATATATCGAAGCAAACTTCAGATACCAAGTCTTGGTTCATCGACCACATTTGGAGTAAAGGAGGGAAATAAACAGTCTGATGTGGGCAAGATGACTAAACAAGTGTTATGCAGTGTGTGAGAACTTACTCAGTAACTGTCTTGGAGGATTTCTCTCGTTTAAACGCCAGCTGGTACTTCAGGCTCTCCACCTCCTTCTTCATCTGGGGCAGGTCCATCTCATCCATGGCTGCAGCGTGAAAAGATCAACTCCCTCACAGTAAAACCTGGAAAACAAAACAAAAGGATTCAGTTTGTTTGCCTCAGAATACAAAATAATTCCACTAAAAATCTGCACTGAACGCAATGAATGCAGCCAGTTAAAGTTAAAGTTAAATATTTGTGCCCAGAATAACAAAAACATGTTCATATGTGTCACTAATATGTGCATTTTTTTTGTGTCCAAGTCCATTATTTTCCCCCAAAAAATAAATACATGACGAATATCAAATTATTCAACAATACGTGAATACGTTTGATTTTCAGCGCATCAACAAAATGATAAAATTCATTTTAGTTCCTTTTTGCCTCCAAAAAACTAAAATTGTCAGGTGGTGCAACCGTCCAGCCATCTAATATTGATTAAATAAACTATAAAAAAAGGGTAATTTAGTTATGATATTCTAAATAAAATAGTTTGGCATGACTTTGCATGAAAACTTTAAAATAGACACCTTGGCAACTTGTGTTGAAAAAGTGCTCAATTCCTTGAAAAACTGTGGTCCACATGTTCTTATTTCCTCACATTTCAGGCGGCACAACCAAAAACAAAGGACTTTTAGTTTGACATGCTTTTATGAAAGAGGGGCCAGGGTATTGTATCATAAAAAAGAGCCCAAGTGACCTTCATGGTGAAATGCCAAGGTCACAGATTCAGTAAAAGTGTAATGTTTGAGTCGTGGCTAGAACGGTTCACTTTGTCAGGTGTTCTGACCCCAGGAGAACCACGGAAATGTGGAATTATTATAATAATAACATTTATTTATTTCAAAAAATGAGTATAAACTCAGATTGAAGGTTTCTACGGGTGTCTAAGTAGATGCCTGTTTAATTAAAATTAGTCTGAAAAGTCAGGCGGCACAACCAGTCAGTCAGATGGAGCAACTAGACCAGCACAGTCTAATATCTGAAACAGGACATTAAAGATTTGATAACACTCAATATATTTAAGATATAAATGCACACAAATATAAATGCAAATATATGCAGATATTAAAATGCACATGTTCTTTTTAATGAGATTCGTAGCTCCTGCAGTGAGAGGCTCTCAGTGTACCGGCAGCTTATTTAACACCTTATTTTGTGTAAGACCCAGCGATGTAGTCGGACGAATATGCTGTACAGACTTTTTTTACCAGGCTTTTTTATACTGACTTCTAGAGAAGTATTTTATTCCAAATCCCTCACAAGTCAGAGAGAAGAAAAACATCATAAGCAAGTTTCACAGAGTTTCAATTCTATGATTAATAAACAATTTTCATTGGATCATTTTTGTATGTTTCTGAGGATACCACCACCATCGTGTTGGAGTCTCCTGCAGTCAGTCGCAGAAATGCTTATATGATTTGAGGCATAGATACAGACTTACTTCCTGCTTTTAAATGAGAAAAAAAACATATATACACACATACATACCGGATCAGACACAGCAGCACACACTAACACACCACCACCACGTCAGTGTTACTGCAGTGCTGAGAATGATCCACCACCCAAATAGTACCTGCTCTGTGAGGGTCCATGGGGGTCCTGACCACTGAAGAACAGGGTAAAAGGGGGCTAACAAAGTATGAGAGAAACAGATGGACTACAGTCTGTAACTGTAGAACTACAAAGTGCACCTATATAGTAAGTGGAGCTGATAAAATGGACAATATATATATTATTCCCACCCTTACAATCTGATTGGTTGAAAAGCGTTCAAACTGTGCTTTTTTGGCTTTTTCACCCTAAACCGTTATCACTCTGCTGACGCACTGCCAAGTAACACGCTCCCTCTCGTGTCCTAATGAGTAAATATAACGTTTACATATTTCCCATGTGTGCTGGGCCAGAGTTATAGTGTACCCACTATCTTCCTTAGTACTACACGACTGGTAAGTAGTGCTGGGCGATATGACCTCAAATCAATAATCACGATTAATTGGATATTTTACCTGGATTACGATTAATGACTGATTATTTTGTTTTGTTTTGTTTTTGTTTGTTTTTTTTTGCCCTCAAAGTTCACTGCATATCTTAATGTAAATCGTCTCAACAGCCATATCAGAACTCACGCAGCTTTTACGTCAATCCAACTCGACATTCGTCATAATTTCGCGCTGCTGAGGCGTCATAACCATTTGGGGTGGTATTTCGATACAAAAATTAGAAGAGACTCATCCAAACCGCTCCGTGTTTGAAGAGATTAAGAAAGAAATGTCCGAACGCAGCCGCAGGAGAACGAGGCTGCAGCGTCAAAGAACAGTTAAAACTCTGAAAGTAAAGTTTAAAGAATCAGAGGATGCGAACCAAAGAAGTGGCCGCGCCCTTTTTACAGTAAGCTGAACACACTCTGGGTGATGAGCCCAGCTGTCAGTCAGTGAAGCTTCGTGATGGCTCCTGTGATGCTGGTGAAGATGAAGCTGAACCTCCGGGAGCGACTGGCGCTCGGTGGCGGTTGTGATTGTTTCCCTCTGGCGTTGTTCGACTCCTCAAGTTTGTGTAAAAGTCTCTGATCAGCAGATTAAATCCATCTGAGAGTCTAAACACAAGCTTCACTGGAAGAGACCAGACCAAAAACAATCTGACCTTTTAGATCAAACAGCTCCACATGATCAACATTCGCTTCAGTTTACATAGTGACCTGCAGTTAGCAGCGTTTCCGCTACGCATATTTTAAAGCCCACCGCTGCAAAATTATTGCCGCCGCTGCTTTAGAATTTAATGAAATGACAGGAAGTCACAATTACAAAACTCTGCAGACAGTTTTTAAGTTGAATCGATGGATGCAGGAAGTGGAGACGCGTGGCGGCATCCAACCAGGGGCACGCTCAGTCTCACAGCGCTGTAAACCGGCTTGCTGCGGTTTCTGGGCTGAACACGTTTCATCGAAACGGTGTGAGACGAGATTCGTTCCAAAGCCCAGCCTGCTGCCGATGGAAGTGCGGGTCCTCAGTAGGACTGTCCTATGATGACTCCTCGTCCTAACAAGGCTGCGTGGTGACGCCACCAGAGCGGCGCCAAACTCCTGAGGGAACCGGGGAGAGATAATGGGAGATCCTGTTGCATTGAGTTTGTTGCTTTTTCATCTCTTCATGGAAATGGAGGAGATGATCTTATGTAGTCTTATAAACTACATACATACAAATACGTCTAAATAAACTACGATATATGGACGGATTCCTTAATTAATCAGTGATTTTTAAAACAAGCTCTGCTCTAACGGCTTTGTTCTCCTCCAGTTTCGTGGTGCTGTTTTCTTTTCTCCTTCGCGTCGTTCGTGCGCAGAGAACTGTGGGTAACCGAAGGCCACGAAGGACACATCTGATGCATCTTCAAATCACTCCGAACGTAGCCTGCATTTCTAGGCTGTATACGAAGGACACTTCACTTTGGAACGGCCTTCTATGACGTAACAGCCGAGAAATGCATCCTAGACTTTGGAACGCAGCTACAGTGTGCAGCAGGGCTTTGATGGGCGGATGGAGAAGGAGAATATGCTGTAGATGGTTCTGCTTAGAAACTTTCTGAAAAGCACCGAAAAGGGTTCTGCCATAGCAACAAGCTTGTCATCACAGCAATAGCAGAACCCTTTTTAGTGCTATATAGAACCCTTTACGAATAGGTTTTATACAGAACCATCTACAGCACATTCTCCAACAATCTACATAAGCTTTTCATGATGCAAAGAAGCTTTTAATTATGCAAAGGTTTCTTTGAGTGTTCACGGTTCTATATAGAACCATTTCTTCACTAAAGAACAATGCTTTTTTTATAAATGTGTGTTTTATGGGGCTGAACACAGCACAGGTCTTCCTGAGTCTATGTACAAGGACGAGAGGAGAGAGAGGTAGATTAAACTATAACAATAAGTTAGATTACAATTTAAAAGAACATTCACAATGAAACATTTCTCTATTGACGATCATGGCCACCTAATTGTTATTATTATTATTATTATGACTATTATTATGTCATAAAATAACGGTCCAGCTAACCTAACATTCACGTTAGTGAATTCAGTTTATTATAATATCAGTAATATTTCCTCAGTAAATGCCAGGGTAATTGCCAACTATGTTTTAATTGGGAAGGTTAATTTACTTTATGCATCTCCCAAGGGATACACTTATTTTGAAATGTTGAAATTTTACACATAGACAAAAATACATGTATGTACATGTGTTTACAAATCCATCTGAAAATGTATGAAATGTCCAGAATCCTGTCTGATGCTCTTCACTGTCTGATACCTTTAGAGATGAATTTGTGTTCCAGTATCTTCATTTTAAATCTGATCAGATGATCCTTTAACAGGACAGAAGCGAGTGTTGTGGGTATTGATACTCTGTGAAAATGCAGTTATGATCTGATATCCTGTTTGTGTGAAATACATTGTGTGTGAGAGTCTGACTGCAGACGTACATGGTTAATGTAAAGTACAGTGCAGATCACAGAAGAACGTTTGGTTACATCTGGAACCTTCATTACACTCAACTGAACACAGATAATAACACATACTGATAAATGCATAAATATATGTAAGTCAATGGAACCAGAATTTTTTCCATGTCATTTTGAGTTATTTCTTTTAGTCCATTCATCATGAAATTTACACACAATATAAAGGGGAACAGGCATTTTCAGATTATATCAGGAACTGAAAAACATCAAAAATGGAGAAATGGAGGTTTTCTTCTGACAACACACTCTAAGCTCTGTGATGGGAAGAGCTAGTCCAGTATTTGAGCATGTGTGTCTGTGTTTGAGCCCAAAAAAGCTCCTACACCTCTGCATGCAGGTGTTCTGTTGCATCAGTGCAGACAGAAAAAGCTTTAAAAGCACTTTTCTGCTGCCCAGTCGCTGACGTCTCCGATTTCACTCTCCAAAACTACGCCTAGCGTTAACATCAGACTGATATTACGTCAATAAACGCCAACTTTAAATGAAGAAAATATTAAAAATAAATTCACTTATTCTGCTCAATCCTTTATGCATTTGAAAGCTTATACACTGAATGTTCCACATTCTCACAGCTACACTCAGCAGATTCTAAGTTAAAGTCTACATAATGTCCAAAATAACGGGGCTTATGTGAACATACTTGTGCACGTGAGGGCCTGTAGACAAAACGCACCATAGTTTCACCAAAAAATATCTATATTAAACCGATAACTCACTAAATTCTAGCTTACACAGTGAAGTATAATAGTAACCCGTTTGGCTACACAATGTGGGTCACAGACATGATGCACCATTTTTCACAAAGAAATGTTTATTCCAATAAATTTAAGGTTAAAATGAAGATTTAAATATTCCAAATAAATGAACTGCTTTGGCTACATGGTTCAGACTTAACAGCACAATTTTATACACTTCTTTGGATATACTGAAGGATTTGTGCACTGAATGCACTGAAAATGAAGACAATATCCAAAATAAATGAACTTTTTTGCACATACTTGTGCGTTTAAAGGATTATACACTAAATGTACAGTTATTTCCATGAAGAACTGGCGTTAAACTCAATAAATTGACGTAAAAATCAAATTATATTTAAAATAAAGAAACACATTTGAAGCCTTATACATTAAACGCACTATTTTTGCACAGACAACAGATGTTATACTGAACATATTCTAGCTTAAAATGAAGAAAATATTAAAAATAAAGATGTTTTAGTGAGATACTATGTGTTTGATGGCTTACAGAGTTAACATACCTTACTTTTACTTTAATAACGTTACGTTTTGACATCAGTTCAATAGACCACTAGAACATCCAGTCTAATATAACTGACATCTGCCTTAAGGCAAAATTACACTGCTTTTAGCATCGCTTTGGATTTGAGCGCATCAATACAGTCAATACAGTCATATATGCACTGAACGCTGTACTGAAAAATAACTCTCTCCAGGCTCTGATCATTGATCTGTCAGATTACTACAGATGCACTGATACCACTACTGATACCTGATCCTTAAATATAGGCTGATACTGAGTACCGACACAGATGCTAATTCTGTTTAACACTACTCAGCTATAAGTCCTGATATTTATACAACTGCATTTTTAAGCTGTTTTATTTTGGTAGAGTCTGTGTTCTGTGTCACTAATGACTGAATGGTATTGGGGGGCAGTCGTGGGCTGGAGGTTAGGGAATCAGCCTTGTGACCGGAAGGCCGGCGGTTCGATCCCCTCAGGTCACTGAAGTGCCCTTCAGCAAGGCACCTAACCCCAACTGTTCCCCGGGCGCCATGGATAGGGCTGCCCACCGCTCCGGGTAAGTGTGCTCACTGCCCCCTAGTGTGTGTGTTCACTAGTGTGTATGTGGTGTTTCGCTGCACGGATGGGTTAAATGCGGAGGTCTAATTCCGATGTGTTCAGACACAGTTGGCTAAAAAGGTTCATTTCATTTCATTTTCATTTTTCATTTACTCGTTGTGATTATATACAATAGATGCTTAAGAAAACCTATTTTTGTTTATTCACTATATATATTTAGTGTTTACTATTTTATATTTGGTAATAAGAACCATGTTTAACAACTTGGGTAGAATATGTTTATTAAGCAAAGTAGTTAAAAACAGATATATAGATAAAGCTGTGATGCTTATGATAAGCACAAAGCAGCTTCTCTGGCAAAAACGGAGCTGAATGTTGTTTCACATCTGAAAGTCATTTGTCTCGTATATGCGTCTCGTCACTCGCGCTGCATCTCTGAGCGTCAGTTCAGTAAATATGATCATCGTTCACGCCGTCAGTAGCGACTTTCAGTGTCTTTTCCGGCTTGGTTGTGACCCCACTGATACAGCTGACTGACGGAGGTGCACCGCAGGTGGGTCTAGAGGACACACAGGCCCGGCTAAAGGGCTGCTGCTATGCTAAAGGCTAAATCAAGGCTAAATGCTATCGTTACGCAGAGAGTCCAGCGGTTCATACCGCTCCCTTAATAACACCAAGTCAGACTACAAGTGTCGACAGGTTTTTCATGCCAAATTCTGCCGTTACAGATTCTGCCTGTGTCAGAAATAGCTTTGTGGTGTTGGTCTTAGGTACCGGTATCGGTATCCCCACCACCGATACTGCGTGTAAAGGCCCATATTCGCATGGGTGCAACACTACAGATTACATGTCCAAAAGTCTGCAGCATTTTTTTCTGAAATAAAGAGTATTAATAGTGAGTATGTGCTGCAGTGACAGCCTCTACCCCTCTGGGAAGGCTTTAAACTAGATGCTGGAACATTGCTGTGAAGATCTGATTGCATTCAGCATTCACAAGAGCATTAGTGTGGTCAGGTGTTGGACGGTCAGTTCTGGATCACTCCAGCTCATCCCAGAGGTATTGGATGGAGCGCCATCACTCCAGAGAACGCAGTTTCACTGCTGCACAGGCCAGTGCTGGGGGGTTTTATACCCTTCTAGCCCACGCTAGAATCAGAATCAGAGCTGTTCACAGTGGTGGTGATAGGAACCAGGCGTCCACCTCTAAAAGCTCCCTCACACAAAGTTCCTACATGAAATGGTTATGAATTCACTGCCTGATGACTGAGACTCTGTTTTATGATAGTTTGGAGAACTTAAACTCCATTCATGGTGGAGGGATACATGCAGGGCGCTGTGAGGCAAAATAGTCCCCAAAGAAAACTTATTATTTCAGATTTTCCACTATTTTCCATCATCAACATTCCATATAAACTCAGAAGACTCGTGTAGGTTCACTGGTGGTTCTGGATAGTAAATAAAATGTCTATATTTGTGTTGTCGTCATGGCGACCGCTGGTTCCTATCACCACCACTGTAAAGACATCTGAACCATTTCACCCCAAACCACTCTGAATCTCTCTGATTACATCTCACACACTGAATAATGCAGGAAATTTGGGAAAATCAGTTTCCCTTTAAGGTAGCTGGATGTCAGGAATCAGAAAGCTGGATATTTTTGGAAACGTACTGTAAGTTTATGCTGTGCCATTAGAGTCGGCTGGGCGTTCGTAACTGGATGTGGCTTTAGTTTAAGATGCTGGAGGACTAGAATAAACTTAAAGTCCTACATGTAGGTCGGTGCATTGATGTAGGTCAGCATTGATGTATCTAGATAACCCAGGTTGGGTCCTTTTTGGGTTCTGAATCAGAACATTTTGTGCCAGAAGCATCTCTGACCATGCACACGAGTCCAAATGCATGTGGCAAGTCTGTAATTTGGCATTGATTACAGTGTGATTTGTCTTACACTCTTAAAAATTAGGGCCAAAAATGGAACCGAAAAGGCTTCTTTGGAGCAAAGCCATAGAATCACCACACTCTAAGAAAAGACGGTTCTTCAAGGGTTATTTAGTAAAAGGAAAAGGTTCTATTTAGAAGCATGAGCTCTGTATAGAGGCGTTTCATGCTTAAACGGTTCTTTTCATGGTGAAATGGTTTTCAGGATGATGGAGAATGTGTTATATATGGTTCCATATAGCACCAAACAAGGGTTCTGCTATTGTTACAAGCTTGACATCATAACAATCTGGTGCTATATAGAACCATTTTCAAAAATGCTCCCTATAGAACCGTTTAAAACACATTCTCCGTCAATCTGAAGAACCACTTCACCATACAGAGAACCATTTAAGCATGCAAATGGTTCTACATAAAATTCACGGTTCTTTGTAGGACCATCTTTTTTAAGAGTGATGAACAGAACCCTTTTTGGTGCTAGATAGAACCATTTTCAAAAAGTTCCTATTCAGAACCATATACAAGGCATTCTCCATCAATCTGAAGAACCATTTCACCATGCAGAGAACCATTTAAGCATGCAAATGGTTCTACATAAAGTTCACGGTTCTAAAAAGAGCCATTCCTTTTACTAAAAAACCTTTGAATATCTATGTTTTTAAAATTGATGAGCAGAACCCTTTTTGGTGCTATGTAGAACCATTTTCAAAAAGGTTCTACACAACAACATTCTCCATCAATCTGAAGAACTATTTCACCATGCAGAGAACCATTTAAGCGTTCTAAACAGAACCCTGAAAAAAAATGTAAGTTTTAAGAGTGCACTTTTGGTTTCCCTAAAGAACATTTCCATGGATGGGATTCCCTTTTTTAAAAAAGTTTAAAGAACCTGCACATGATGGAACACAAAGTTTTTTCCTTTAGAACCATGAACCAATTTAAGGGTGCACATGCTAACTGTCTTTTTGACCAATAATCAGAAATTAATCTGGAAAAATGAGAGATTACAGTATGTGATAAACGTCAGAGGAGCTGTGTCAGATTTTCCTGTCATTAGACAGAACCTGATATATAATAATGTGGATTTATAATGAAAAATACACCAATTTACGGTTTTTCATACCTTCTCTGCTGCATACAAGCTCCACAGAGAACCCACCAAACTGCCTTTATGAACGCGGCATAGACAAAATAATCAAATAACATCGATTAGTTTAAAAAATAAGGTCGTCTGAGGTAAAAATGACAACCAGTTTTACATAACAGCTTCATTTCAGGGCACAGTGGGTGATGGAGAAGCTGAAGCTAGCTCCTTTTTCCAATTTCCCGTTCCACCTTAAATGTTGCAGCGGCTGTTATAATGCCTGAGGCGCCAGAACGGAACTGCTGCACCATTTAAGGTGGAACGGGAAATTCGAACAAGAAGCTGGCGAATAGGACAACTTCGCGTGATGGAGGCAGTAAAAATGGATAAAAACAGCATTTCAGAGGCAAAAAACAAACCTAAATCGCAGACTGGTCAAATTTCTGAGGTAAATCGGGATGATATATACTCGAATACAACCTCTAAAAAGACTTATTTGCGATATTCTGTCCCATTTTTGTGTTCGGTGGTCTCCTACCTTCAATAACACAGCTGAAGATGCTCTCCCCGGCTCCTTACTTTGACAAAACGCGTAAATCCAAGAACAAACACAAGTCTGATGCCGAAAAATCCTACCTAAGATCCTTAGTAGATCCAACAAATGTTAAAACAAGGACACAATGGACAGTTCCGAGCCACTGCTGTTCGCCGAGCTGATTCTGAGGAGAGAAGCGGTAACGGCTAACCGCTGCTGCAGTGGCGGGAAGAAAAATAGAAAAAAATGATGCTAAGCTAAAAGTTGAGGCGATGCAGAACAGACAGAAAAGCCTCCTCAAAAGTGAGAACAGGACGCCGTTAAAGCGAATTACAGTGAAAGGGAGTGAGATATGAGGGAGGGGAACGAGCTCCGCACACTTTTATATGCAAAGGGGCGAAATAAAGTGGGTGCAGACGGGTTTCTGATGTGACTGGCCGCTATTTTCCTTTCCCACCCGTATTCAGGAATGTCCCGCCTTCCTCTCGCTGGGATTGGTTAGTGATAGCCGTTCTCTGCGCTGGGATTGGCTAGTGGTTCATCCTCACGAGCAGTCCGCCAATCAGTGAATAGCCAATGCCGGCGCAGGAGGGTGGGATGTGTCGGAATACGGGTGGGAACGAAAAAAACATGATTTTTCTCGCTTTTTGGATAAGTTTCGCTAAGTTTAGATCCACCATACGCACGAAGGTCACCGAGTTTTGCCCTAACACAATATTTATGCCCTAATATGGTCAAATTCCTCTCCAACATGGCAGTTTGGAGCGGTTAAGCTTCTCTCTGCCTAGCCTTCTAAGCCAAGAGCAGAGCAATAACTGCAGAAAAGTCTCTCGAATCTAATGGGATGAACGGGTTTATACTGAAGCCATGGTCTGTGATTGTGGACAGAGCATCCCGATGAAGGGCATATTTACATGCTTCTGTTTGAATATGCTCAATAATATCATCTTCACAGGGTTGGGATGTATCCTAATGCAGTAGTTGGGAATATGTATTCAGAATATAGACATTAAGTATCTCTATTTAGTCCAGGTTACATTTTGTAAAAGCAATATTCAGAATACAGTTACTTTTTACAGTTTTTAGAATACCCTTCGGAATACTTACTCACTTAATTTAAAAGACACATACCATCTTTAAAATAAACACCATCGCTTCTTGTTTATTAACTGCTTAAAAATCAGCACTCAGTATGTGAAGTTCCTGCTAAAGCCTGAGTAGACTGATAAATCAATGTGATCGGTTATTAATCTCAGTGTTACTGAGCTCTGCTAAAGCCTGAGTGGACTGATAAATCAATGTGATCGGTTATTAATCTCAGCGTTACTGAGCTCCGCTAAAGCCTGAGTGGACTGATAAATCAATGTGATCGGTTATTAATCTCAGCGTTACTGAGCTCCGCTAAAGCTTGAGTGGACTGATAAATCAATGTGATCGGTTATTAATCTCAGCGTTACTGAGCTCCGCTAAAGCCTGAGTGGACTGATAAATCAATGTGATCGGTTATTAATCTCAGCGTTACTGAGCTCCGCTAAAGCCTGAGTGGACTGATAAATCAATGTGATCGGTTATTAATCTCAGTGTTACTGAGCTCCGCTAAAGCCTGAGTGGACTGATAAATCAATGTGATCGGTTATTAATCTCAGTGTTACTGAGCTCCGCTAAAGCCTGAGTGGACTGATAAATCAATGTGATCGGTTATTAATCTCAGCGTTACTGAGCTCTGCTAAAGCCTGAGTGGACTGATAAATCAATGTGATCGGTTATTAATCTCAGTGTTACTGAGCTCCGCTAAAGCCTGAGTGGACTGATAAATCAATGTGATCGGTTATTAATCTCAGCGTTACTGAGCTCCGCTAAAGCCAGCAGGCATGTTTACAGTGGACATAGTGATGGTTAGATTTTTCATTTTGACCACACTGTCCCTGTAAGGACATGTAGGCCTCACTTCAGCCCTGTTTATCTGGAGGCTCAGCAGACTGTGCGCTAAAAGCCCCTAAAAATACACAGGCAGACGCCACCGTTAGACCATACGAAGCACCGGTGATGTATGTCGAGTCAGTTATGATGTGGCGACGTTCCAGTATGGAGAGAAAGTGAAGTTCGGCCATTAGCCGATAAAACGGACATCTGTCGCGTGTCCGTTTCTCTCCGAGCTGGACCTCCTCCACTATCGCACCTCACACGGTGGCATTAAGAGGTGTGAGATGAGCCGGACACGTGGCTGGACATTTGTGTCAACACCATCTCTGTCCATCGGGTTTGGTTTTGGTGGATCTCGAGCTGAAGTGGCTTTTAAGTATTTAAGTAGCAGTGAGACACAAAGCGTTTGTGGTACAGGGACAAAATGAATACTTTCTTTTTAAAGAGCCAAAGTTCTTCATTTTTCTTGTATTTTACTGACCTCCCCTTATAATGTTTGCATGATTTTATGTACTAGAAACAAACATGATTACTTTTTATATGATCATTTTCCAACCTCTCTGTATCTCCTAGAATCAAACAGACAGTTTAACAGTTTTTGTTTCTGTGGCTTTAAGATATGATATATGTCAGTGAGCTCTGTTCTGATTGGCTGTCATGCACTGTGCCTCTTACAGAAAGCAGTCCAGGCTGAAACACTCCTTATGATGTCTTTGTGAGTTGGTGGGGCTGAAGAGCTGTAGGCTGAATGGGCGGGGCTAAAATGCTGTAGGCTGAACAGGGGGAGCTAAACTGCTGTAGGCTGAATGGGTGGGGCTAAACTGCTGCAGGCTGAATGGGCGGGGCTAAACTGCTATAGGCTGAATGGGCGGCGCTAAACTGCTGTAGGCTGAACAGGGGGAGCTAAACTGCTGTAGGCTGAATGGGCGGGGCTAAACTGCTGTAGGCTGAATGGGTGGGGCTAAACTGCTGTAGGCTGAATGGGTAGGGCTAAACTGCTGTAGGCTGAATGGGCGGGGCTAAACTGCTATAGGCTGAATGGTGGAGCTAAACTGCTGTAGGCTGATTGGGCGGGGCTAAACTGCTGTAGGCTGAACGGGTGGAGCTAAACTGCTGTAGGCTGATTGGGCGGGGCTGAACTGCTGTAGGCTGAATGGGTGGAGCTAAACTGCTGTAGGCTGATTGGGCGGGGCTAAACTGCTGTAGGCTGAACGGGTGGAGCTAAACTGCTGTAGGCTGATTGGGCGGGGCTAAACTGCTATAGGCTGAATGGGCGGGGCTAAACTGCTGTAGGCTGATTGGGCGGGGCTAAACTGCTGTAGGCTGAACGGGTGGAGCTAAACTGCTGTAGGCTGATTGGGCGGGGCTAAACTGCTGTAGGCTGAACGAGTGGAGCTAAAATAAACTAAAATATAATTGTGGGAAAAAAATGGTTTACCATGATGTTTTATTATTATTATTATTATTGTTATCTTGTCTTCTTTTAAGGAGCAGCCTAGAGGTCAGGAAACGTAGAGGAGATATTTATGCGCAGAGAACATCAAGTAGGCCTGCATATGCTAATCGTGTGCTAATGTGTGTGGCCCACTAATGTGTAAATGTCCCTAATCTGATATATTTGCATTTTAATGTAGTCTGAAAGCACTTAGTGAAGATCAGATTAATGTTAATGCCACACTACTGTCTGTGTTATCCTGAGTCGATCCGACGCTGAGATCAATAAGCTGTATATTTTGAATATTTTGCACATCTTGAGCACATTTGCACCAGTTACAGTCATATCCCACCTGTACGGTTGTGAACACCCTGGTTGTTTTGTTTACATGCTGCTGGTGTTTATATATTGTGACCTTTTGTGACTGTCTTTATATTTCTTTGTATATATTTGTATTTTAAAGCTGTCAATTCACAAAATGTATCATGATTACATACATTAGTTTGTGTAGTTATTTGTGATTATCATCTTATTTACTCAAATTTGACCCTAAAGACAGATTTGTTTCCATTTTAAAAGCAGTGCATTGTGGTTTGGCTATATGAGTGGATAAGAGAAGCTTCCTCAGAATGTATTTGAGCAAAAGGGCTCTATTAGAGCAACATAAAGCACCGTGCAGCTGAGCTTCATTACTAATTTATTTGTATTCGCCGCTGCCCATTTGCAGTATGTATGCACTAATTTCAACAAGACTATTCCTGATACATGCAATAGAGGCCAATGAAGTGATTCTGATTGTGGAACCTTCAGCTGAGTATTGCATTTGTTTATTTGTATTTCTTAACTGTTTATATTATTCTTATTTGGCATTTTGGTTTTGATATGCTGTTATACAGCGACCCGGGGTATCTTGAAAGGTATAAAAAAAAACTATTATTATTGTTGTTATTTTTATAGTATACATTATATACATTGTTTTTATAGTAAGACATCCCACCTAATTATTGAGTTCAGGTGTTTCAGTCACACCCATTACTAACAGGTGTATAAAATCAAGTACATAGTCTTACAGTCTCCATAGACAAATACTGGCAGTAGAACGAGTTACACTGAAGAGCTCAGTGACTTTACACATGGTGCTGTAATAGGATGCCGCCTCTGCTACAAGTCAGTTTGACTGACAGTTTAACCCGAAAAACTGAGCATCAGGAGCTTCATGAAATGGTTCTCCATGGCTGAGCAGCTGCACAAAAGCTTAAGATCACTATGCGCAATGCTAAGCGTCGGCTGGAGGGGTGTAAAGCGCCGCCACTGGACTCTGGATCAGTGGAACCGTGTTCTCTGGAGTGATGAATCAGCTTCTCTATCTGTCAGTCTGATGATGAGTCTGGGTTTGGTGGATGTCAGGAGAACGTTACCTACCAGAATGCAGAGCCAACAGTACAGTTTGGTGGAGGAGGGATGATGGGCTGGGCTGTTTATCAGGGTTTGGACCCCTCAGTTCCAGTGAAGGGTGATGTTGATGCTGCAGCACAAAGACATTTTACACAGTTATCTGCTTCCAGCTTTGTGTCAGCAGTTTGGGGAAGAGCCTTTCCTGTTCCAGCATGACTGAGACCCTGAGCACAAAGCAGCTCCATAAAGACATGGAGTGACCAGTTTGGTGTGGAAGAACTCCAGCCCTGACCTCAACCCACTGAACACCTTTGGGATGAACTGGAATGGAGATTGTGAGTCAGACCCTCTCGTCCAACATCATTGTCTGACCTCACAGATGCTCTTTAGACTGAATGAGTACAAATTCCCACAGACTCTCTCCAACATCTTGTGGAAAGCCTCCAGAAGAGTGGAAGCTGTTATAAAAGAGGAGCGACTCCATATTAATGCTCATGGTTTGGAATGGTACGTCCAACACGCTCACATAGGGGTGATGGTCATTTATGGTACGCATGCACCAATTTCTGGCACATTCTAGGCCAGCATACTAGCATTTGACAGTTTATTTACCTTTATTTAACCAGAGCAAACCTCACTGACCTCTTTTACAGGAGAGTCCTGGCCACAATAGGCAGGGACACATAGCAAACTGTTACCACAAAACAAACGACACAAACATATAACAGATAATTCAATAATCAACGACCCATAATTAATCATTTAAAACATTACCAAACAGTTTTCACAGCTATACGATGACAAAGGCTACGCTAAGATTTTAAATGTTGTTAAATGCATCACACACACTACATCCCTCATTATCTAAACATGTTTGTTGTTTTCTTTGTCATTTGTGTAGATTATGTACTCATTTTGTTTCATTAGGAAGAGGTTTCTGTGCAGGAGAGTTGCAGTAAATGACACATGCAGAAATTTCATTACTTTTACACACTGTATAAATGAAGCGTCACGTGATTCAGTATTAATTAATCTCCCGCTTATTTCTGGGTCACAACTAAAACCATGCAGTTCCAGCACACGGCCATTTCTGCTCTTCTCCATGCAGTTTCTTCAGTGTTACAGCGAACAGTACTGCATGAATGGAAGGGGAAGCGCGCTCCGTCATGAGGGAAAAGCTAAATGGACACCGACTTGCCGCTGGGCTCGAGCTGCTGATGGCCAGCATTTCAGCGTCCAATGGGCAGTAACAGTGGAGGTCGCTGTCATTTATTTTTTGTCCCACTTTGCTCAGAGACACCAAGAATAAGATCTGGGTGAACTTCTGGACATAAATAAACGTTCCCGAAGATGGAAATGAACGCTTCAGATGTTCAGCACAAAAGGCCAAAGCAGGAGGCCTTCAGCTCGCCTAATGGAGCCTCGCCACTGAATGCATGCATGACTTTTTTCTTTTATGACACTGCAGCACTCAGGTTGCCCTTAAGTGCTCTTAGCCGCGGCTCTTAGAGCCGTCTAATGGACTGAATGCATGTCAGATTCTGCGCCTAAGAAACAGAGCGATCCTGTCAAGACATCAGCTCCATTCAGTGCGTTCAAGAACTGGAATTGTGGTCACCTTCTGGCCTAGGTTAAAGGGGAATTCCACTGATCTCTCAAATTTTCTGTATAATTGAGTGTGTGAGATGTAAGCAGAGTGATTCAGAGTGATTTGGTGTGAAATGGTTCAGATGTCTTTACAGTGGTGGTGATAGGAACCAGGGGTCGCCATGACTACAACACAAATATAGACATTTTATTTACTATCCAGAACCACCAGTGAACCTACACGAGTCTTCTGAGTTTATATGGAATGTAGATGATGGAAAATAGTGGAAAATCTGGAATAATAAGTTTTCTTTGGGGACTATTTTGCCTCACAGCGCCCTGCATGTATCCCTCCACCATGAATGGAGTTTAAGGTCTCAAAACTATCATAAAACAGTGTCTCAGTCATCAGGCAGTGAATTCATAACCATTTACTGTAGGAACTTCCTGTGAGGGAGCTTTTAGAGGTGGATGTCTGGTTCCTATCACCACCACTGTGAACAGTTCTGACTTGGTATGTTTATCTAGAACAGAGCGTTTCTCACCAAACCACTCTGAACCACTTTGAACTGCTCTGTTTACATCTGAACAATTTAAATATGCTGAAATTTTTAAAAATTGGTGGAATTCCCCTTTAAATTAGTCCGCTTTACAAACCGTGGTGTTAAAGATTTTAAAGAACCGCATTCTGGATTTTCTATATTTATTACCTGCTCTGTATTGTTGTAAATACATGTTGTTTACTGTTGATGCATGTACATTGGCTGCATATTATATTTATTTGTATCTATTTGTATTTGTATTGTTTATGTGTCCATGAACTAGTCTAGAAGAGAAGATATTCTCCATAACAACAACAACAACAATAATAATAATAACAACAACAACAACAACAACAATAATAATAATACCAGTCTCACCAAGTCCCTTATTCATGTTAATTCTGTCAGTTTATTTGAATAATAAAATAAACATTAATCCAAAACAAACCTAACCATAGACTTTGCATTTCATTGTGTAGAGTTCAACTAAAGAAAATCATTGAAACCTTTTTTATAGGTTAAATTGCTCATTAGAAATAGCAAAATAACTACAGTTTCTTAATGCATGAGTTTCCTTCACTGTTAGAAACAACGTTGTAATCTATAATATCATCTTTTCCAGAAACAGACTGGCATGAGAAGGATTGATGGAGTCTGGATGATTTGAGGAAACAGCGCCCTCCTCCGTCTGGAGCCCTTTACAGTGCATTAGGAGAGAAGACATGAGTTTACAGTCATGTCTAACTTCACTAAACTTATGAGCCAGTTTATTAAGGGTTTTACAGAAACAACACATTTTCCTTCACGGTCTGTTAATATTATATCAGTGACGAGATTATAAGAAAAGTATAGAGTTCAATGCATAATTAATACATCATCGCTACAAAACACCACATTCATTCTGTACAAATATTTACAGAGCCCTTAAAGGACATGGTGATTATTTTTTAATAAGGCGTGGCCACAAATTACTATATTGAGGCCACGAGTAACTATATTGAGGCTACTGTTTACTTCATCGAGGCCACAAATCACTATATTGAGGGCACAAATTACTACGCTGAGGCCACAATTTACTATGTTGAGGCCACAGAGTGGTTATATGGAGGCCACAAATTAATATATTGAGGCCACAAATTACTATACTGAGGTCGCAAGTTACTACGTTGAGACCACAAGTTACTATATTGAGGACACATATTACTACGTTGAGACCACAAGTTACTATATTGAGACCACAATTTACTCTGTTGAGGCCACAAATTGGCTATATTGAGACCACAAATTACTATATTGAGGCCACAAATTAATATATTGTGGGCACAATGTAATATACTGAGGCCACAAATTACTATTTTGAGGCCACATATTATTACCTTGAGGCCACAATTTACTATGTTGAGGCAACAAATTGGCTATATTAAGGCCACAAATTAATATGTTAAGGCCACATATTACTACTTTGAGGCCACAATCTACTATGTTGAGGTCAGAGGCCACAAGTCACTTTATTGAGACAACGTATTACAACATTAAGGCCACAATGTACCACGCTGAGGCCCCAAATTGGCTATATTGAGACCACGAATTAATACACTAAGATCATAAACTGCTATTTTGAGGCTACATATCAATATATTGAGGCCATGTATTATTAGAAACTTAATTCGTGGCCTCAATAAATTAGTAAATCAGTAAATTGTGGCCACGCCTTATTAAAGGAACTCCGTAAATATTCAAACGCATTAAAATCCAGTCAGGTGGAATTTTTATTGCCACTTTAAGAAGCGCAACCTCGGACCATCCAGTCTTGCATGTTCCGAAAACCTCGCGTGATGTGAAGTGTGGGAGTTGTAGTCTATTATTTTCTCGCCTAATACCCTCTCACATGTTCCGTACTACATTTCCCAGGATCCGTAGCGCGTTATTGGCAAACGTTGGAGAAAAATGAAAAATTTCCCTGCAGAGTTAGCCTACAGGTGAGACTCTTTCGTATTTTGGGGTGAATATGCGTGTAAACGTTTGCGTAGATGATTAAAACTGAAGGGTTTTAGCTCGGGAGTCGGTTTTATTTGACTTATGTTGACAGCAGACGCGAAAAGTTTTCAAGCTCCGAAAAGCCCTTCGCCTGCTAGCGCTAGCTTAGCATCGGCAGTGACGAGCTGAAATACGAACGCAGAGATTCAGTCAGAGCGAAACGGATCGCGCAGTGGATCCAGAATAGTTATTAAAATTAGTACAGAAGGTCGTTATTTAGCGGGCTGTTATGGGTTTGATCGATGGGTTAGAGAGTCCAGCGGGCCGGAGACTTAGCTTAGCTTAGCTTAGCTTAGCTTAGCATAGCTCAGCCTGTGTAAACAGTAAAACACCACCCGGATTGAAGTTTAGTCTCTGATCAGTTTCAGTGTAGTTCAGATTAAGAGCTGCGAGCCGTGCTTAGTGCGATATGCAGTGTGTTTCAGCCGGTGTGGAGTGTTTAATGTAGTATATACACTCATAAAAGTAGGAAAAGTTGGTGTCTTTATAGCTGATCTGTGTTTGTGCGCTCACAGTTTCTTCTCTGTTATTTTAGACACTGAGAAAATGAACAGAACTAACAGTGGACGGTTAGGTGTTTATGGTGTTTATGGTGTTTATAGTGTTAAATGGGGTTTTACTGTGAGTCAGAGTCATATAAAATGGGGGAAAGACTAAAGGTTCAGGTTAGAGTCCTTAATAATAATAATAATAAATAATAATAATAATAGGACATTGTTGTTGTTCTTCGCGCTTAAACAGTTCTTTAGTAATAAAGGCAGTGGTTCTGTTTAAAACCATGAGTTCTGCCTAAATGCTTCTTAGCATTAGGGCTGGACAATATGACAATATATACTGTTATCATGATAAATTATGTCACAGCGCAATACAGTACGCTTTTCTGAACGTATTGTGTAGATCATCACTGATTGTAGAAACTGACCTGCATGTTTTGTTATAAAGAGAGCAAAATTATTCCTGTTTAACTGGATTTAGTGTGAAATACGGAATAAAAATCACTGTGTTTAGTTTTGGATAATTTTTTAAAAAATTGTAGGTTTTTTCTCCGTTCAAACTGATCAGATGTCTGAAAATATCGCTAGTTAAATTGTGAAAATGTCTTGAAGTATTGTGATATTAGATTTTGGCCATATCGCCCAGCTGTGCTTTGCGTGGTGAAATCGTTGTTCAGATTGGTGGAGAATGTGTTGTGTGGTTCTGTATAGCACCAGAAAGGGTTCTGCTATAGTTACAGTGTCACACTTGTAACAGTAGAGGAGTGCTGTTTGGTGCTAAATAGAACCATTTTCAAAAAGGTTCTATATAGAACCTTTTACAACACATTCTCCATAAATCTGAAAAGCCGTTTCACCATGCGGAGAACCAGTTAATCATGCAAATGGTTTTACATAGAACTCATGGCTCTAAACAGAAGCATTTAAAGAACACTTAAAGACCTTTTACGGGTTTTCCTAATAAGAAAATTAATTGGTTAAAGAAGACTGCAGAATAAGAGTGACGTGCAGGCTGTTTATGTGTAATTATTGACGATTGACTGTAAATTTCAGGTGATTGATTGTATTAGACTCTGTAGTCTGAACGAGGATGTGCTTAGTTATAATTGTGCATCTTGTGTTTATAAGAGGTCCCGTTTACACTGAGCAGATATTCCTGTTGTGGTTTTTCTCTGAAACCTTTTGTGTTCATGGCCTTTATTAGGTCTTCGTTTGAAGGGAAGCTGTACTGAGTAGTGAAAAAAGTGTGACAGTGAAGAAAGAGGAACAGAGCTGCGTCACCTCAGGTCAGGTTAGGGTTTGCTCAGACGCTCAGCAGCTGGAGGGAACGAAGGGCCGGGCAGCGGCTGCTTAAAGGGCCCGTATCCTTCATTTTTCTGTGTTTTTATTTCCCCTCCTGAGGTCTGCTGATGAAAACAGTTATAAACAGTGTGCTGTCTGCTTTTCTGCTGTTCTGTTTGGGTTTATCAGTGTAAACACAGCCGGCTGAAGGGACGAGCTGCTGAACTACATGGATAAATCATACATATTTGTTGCTATTGCTAGTTTAATTAACCTAATTACTTTATCTTTACTTTATCAATAATAGTGAAATAATTTAAACAGCAGTGTGAAGTTCTTGTAGAACGACTTAATAAGGTGGCTGCTTTATGTTTGGAGGAGCTCTGTGCAAAAGGAGGAAAAAGGAGGATCCTTGTATTTTCAAATTATTTTAAGTTATGTAATAATTAAAGTTATTGACAGACTACGTCTTTTTCCGATTAATCAAAGCTGTAATGAACCGATTTATAGTTTAGGAAATTCATCATTAGTTGCGGCGAAACTCTTACCTGCTATAAATCGAACAGTAGAAATAAGCTCAGGTTATAGTCCCAATGTGGAGTGAAATGTTGGTCATTTATGTCATGGTTCATTATCACTGGCTTCAGTGTTTGTGTCCAAGTAAAATAATAAAAAGCAGTAAACAGATGAAGCTGCTGACCATCCTGCAAACCTGCACACAGAAATGTGACGTATGGAATTATCAGTCGAGCCCAGGATCAGTCCTGGGGACTCCAAGTCACCCAAATCTGATCATTTTCCTCATATGTGACTGAAATCAGATGTGTGTCAGTGTGAACAGATAAACACACTGAATCTGACATTTTCAGCTCTGATTTGAGACGCTTTCATATGTGGTACTGAAATCTGATACGTATCCGATCTGCGGCAACGTGACTCAGTCTGAACAGCCAGATCGGAATTTGTGCGACTTTTACGTCAACCTGCCCACTATTCTTCCTAATTTTATGCTGCTGAGACTCATAAACATCTGGGCTGATGTTTCTGTACTAAAATTATTAGAGACTCATCCAAAACTCTCCGTGTTTGAAGAGAATGTCCGAATGCGGCCGCAGGAGAACGAGGCTGCAGCGTCAAAGAACAGTTAAAACTCTGAAAGTAAAGTTTAAAGAATCCGAGGATGCGAACCAAAGAAGTGACCGCGCCCTTTTTACGGCGAGCTGAACACATTCTGGGTGATGAGCCCAGCTGTCAGTCAGTGAAGCTTCATGATGGCTCCTGTGATGCTGGTGAGGATGAAGCTGATCCTCCGGGAGCGACTGGCGTTCGGTGGCGGTCGTGATTGTTTACCTCTGGATGAGCCGTGAAGCAGCGTGACGCTCTGTTCTTTAGAGGGTCAGTTTAGGAGCTGATCTGTTCAGACTGATGATACAGATCACATTTAAAGATAATCTGAATAGACAAAACAAAAAAAATCAGATTTGGTGAGAAGATCAGTTTTGGGCCACTTTTATCTGCTGTGTGAACGAAGCTAAATATTCAGGACAAGTCCTAAGTTAACGTATCGATACTGATAAAATTGTCGAGTGATGTTTTCAGTGATGCCCAGCCGTATTTTTTCCAGTGATGAGCCCTTTAAAGAGCAGAGTTAGGATCTGTCCTTTAACCCCAGTGAGATGTTCACACCCTCATTATTAAATACCTCTTATACTAAAGCCATTTCCACCCTGGACTGACACCTGTACTGTACTTCCTCATATCACTCCCACTCACTGTCGCTGTTCCGGTTGCAGCTGTGGTTTAATGTTGAGTGACTCTGATTGGTCTCCTGAGATTTGCCGTTGTTGCTATGGTGACCAGCATTCAGGTTTGATTAGCGCTGGAAGATCAGCTGTTTAAAGCACATTTTGATTTGTGTTTGATTGTTTGAGACGCTCTGAAGTGTTTTTAATGAGCTCTGCTCTCTCTCTCTCTCTCTCTCTCTCTCTCTCTCTCTCTCTCTCTCTCTCTCTCTCTCTCTCTCTCGCGCTCGTGCTCTCCCCGTCCTGCCTGCTGAGTCAGAGTCAGTGTAACTCGTCTTGTATTTACACCTCACCCCACATGTTACGTAAACATTTAAAACCAAGTGTTCAGTTAGTCATACGTCTGTCAGCGACTGCAGTCTGTTTAACCCTCTGGGTTGACGAACATGCGTCAAATTAGACGTTTCTCAGTGTTTCTATGAATATCTTTGTGATGATCCAGCTCAGAAATCCAGTTCAGACACTTCCTGAATCTGTAGAGTCGCCCTTTCCATTCCATCTTATCTCGAGATCATACGACACTCACATCCGGAGTTATGAGCCTATGAAGAGGGGCTGAGGTACACGTCATCTGCCTCTCACCGCGTGGAGCTGGTGGATTGGTGTGTCCGTCTACATTCTGTGTGAAACTGACCAATGGTCACTCAGGAAATCACTAAGGACTGACCATCACGCCGGAAACCCTTCATTCTTCATTCAGTCCACATCGGAGACTCATGTGAAACGGCATGCAGAGAGTTTACAGCTGCTGAAGCTGCTGCAGCGGTTTTGGAAAGTAGCGATGAGGAGAACATTTATCTTCTATTTTACTGATACGTTCTGCTACCTTTGTGATCCTCAGACTTTGTTAAACACATTTCAGACACCAAAACAATTCGTCCACATCAGTAAAGCTGTTTTCACAAGAGATGTTAAGAAAGGTTTATTTTTTCAGGTTTAGGGCTGAATTATCTCTGTACACAGAGCTCCAGGTCAAAGGGCCTCATTACAGACAGAGCAGAGATTTTTATATATAATATTTGGGTATCATGTCATATGTAAGAGACTTTAAAGGAGCGTTTAAGAGTATATGCAAAAATCTAGAAAATGTCCTCAGACCAGAGGGGTAATGAGTATCTGCCTCGTTTTATTTATATGGCCGTTACAGTTTTCCTTCAGGATGTCCCCAAAATATTCAGCCTTTAAGCTCCAGAGAAAATCTAATGATTTCTGTGAAATAAAATAATTGAACACTAAAATATTAATTAAACACATTTAATTTTAATTAAACAGGTCCTGATTAGACCAGAGAAAACGCTTGGGTTTCTGATCAGAAACATGTAGGCCAACCTCACTTGTATTGTTGCTGTAAATTAAATTAAACACATTACAAATATAAAACGGAAAAATCAACAGTCAACAACCCAAAATAAATCATTTAAAACTCTGACGGGCAGTTTTAGCCGCTTGAACTGTTCAAAGAACGTTTTTAAAATTATTCCGTGCCAAACGTTCCTGAAGTTTTCATTCTTTCTGTAACAAATTCTGGTCAGCGTAACTGAAAACTTGTTTTCCTAATTCAGTATGTACAGTGGGGATAATTCCCAGTTCCTTTTTGGGGTATAAAATTACATAGATAAGATAATGAGAAGGTGAATTTTTATTAATTTGTCACTACAGCATCAAAATTATTCGTGTTTTGAACGTGGAAGGCTGCAGCACAGCTTTATCTGCTTAATGATAACAGTTAAAACAAAAAAATGCTGCTTCACAGAATCCAAAGCCAAAAACACACGACACGTTAAAGGAAATCAAGGATTATGGATACTTGTCCATCATAAAGCTGCAGACAGCACATTCTCTGACCTGGAGTAGTTGTTATAGAAGGAATCCATCTGTGGTTAATACTACTTTCATTAATTGGCTCCTGCTGGTCAGCGGTGGTCTTATGGTGGTCCTTCCAATTAATGAATACAGCAGATGAGCCACGACTGTAAACTTACATAGTATACCTGTGTGGTAGGTGTTTCTGATAGAGTGTCCAGTGAGTGTCTGTAGGAGTTTCTGGTAAACTGGACGCTGGGTGTGTAACGCTGTTCTCTCCCTGCAGGCTGTGAAGGCCCTTCTCTACGTGGCTTTGATGGATTATGAACTCAAGTAAAGCAACGCGCTACAACCGACTCTCAGGAGGAGCGTCCACTACTGCCACGGTCAACATCTGCTCATCTGACGTCAGTAACGGGGTGAGAACACGGTTTATTACCTCCACTCTTAGTGATGCATTGCAGAGACAAGTTTGTTTATTTGTTTATTTTATCTACTTTTTATTTTTTTAAAGAATAAATAGATTATTTTATTGCACTTGCGGTTGATTATGCTTTCAGAATCACTAAGCTGGGCTAATAATTAACACATTTGTATCTTCATGTGTTGGAAAATGGTGGAACGTTACAGCAAATGTTCTAAAATGGATTATCGGAATCAGGGCTGGGCGATATGGCAATAATATCGCTATACTCCAGGAAGTTTTCACGACACACGATATGTCAAGATATTTACATCTGATCATTTTTATTCAGTGTTTAGCAATACGAGTGATTTGCATGGAATAAGAAATCTCAGTCTAAATGTCAGAGATGGAGCAGCTACTCGATTTATGCGCCGCCTTTGCTCCAGAGAAGAGTAGAAAAGATGATAAAGCGTTTGATTTAGCCGTTGTTTCGTTTACCTTCCTGTCTGAACGCAGTGCGTCATTAGCATCACCATTAGCCTGAATTCACACCAAACAGTCAGCTTCACTGCAGAAAATCAGACTTTCTTTCTGGATTCTGTTCATGGTGAAATGGTTTTTCAGATTGGTGGAGAATGTGTTGTATGTAGTTCTACATATAAACGTTTTGAAAATGTTTCCGTGTAGCACCAAAAAGGGTTCTACTGTTGTTACAAGCTTGACATTGAAAACAGTAGCAGAACCCTTTTTGGCGCTATGTACAGCCATATACGGCACATTCTCCATCAGTCTGAAGAACCATTTCACCATGCAGAGAACCTTTTAAGCATGCAAGGGGTTCTTTGAGTGTTCATGATTCTAAATAGAAGCACTGGCCATGTTTACATACAGCCTAATAATCCGTCCATAATCCGACTAGACAGCTTAATCAGAATAGAATACGTCCATGTAAACACCTCAGTCGGAATAGTCTAGTCCGATTGAGGCCATTCGGAATACAGTTCCTATCCGACTGATCGAGGTGGGTAATCCTGTAAATAATCCGTTAAATAGAAGAATAATATCCGTGTAAATGCCTGTATCTGATTACATTCCCTATCGGAAAGTTTAAGTCCGTTCTGATCATGTTCGTCACGTCATAGTGAGAGTTTATACCGTTCAACATGGCGGAGCAGAAACTGGTCTGCAGAGGAGACGAAGTTTATGCTCTGATCTTTAAAAGGCGGCGGTGGGACGGACGTCCAGCTTATGTGTCTCAGAACACGACGTCCTCCTCTCGGCCTTCTTTAATAAGGACATGTGAAGGACGTTTTCCTGAGTCTGACGTCATTTTAAAGTGATTAAAAACACAAGCGCTGCTCACTGCTGCTCATCTCACTCTGACTGGACTCACGTGATGCTGGTTGTCATGGTAACATCTACACTAAGCAGTTCTCTACGCATGCGCGTCACTTTGGATCTGATTACTTGTAGTGAGCATGTAAACAGAGATTTTCATCAGATTGTTAAGTAGAGTGAGAATAAACACCTCAGTCTTAAAATCTTTGCACAGCCATTGTCTTTGTTAAAGAGCCCTTGAAGAACCTTTTTTCTTTTTTAGAGTTTAGTTTAGATCATTGACGGTGGTTTCCACAAAAATGTTGTACTGTAAAACTGTTCTGTATTGAAATTGTTACACTCTTAATAAATGGGCACGGTGAGTTACTATGACAGCGCACAGTGTTGCAACAATGACGTTTATATTATAGATCTGTCTATTCCCAGAAGATCCCAGATTCGGAGTCAGAGCTTCTGAGGACGTCCAGAACAATAAAGTACGATTTTTGGCCAGATTAAAAAAATGGCACTTAATAAATAATTCCCATTGGTTATTTAAAGTTATGCCAGCGCTAAAGATACTGAAAAACTAGAGGATAGATGAGTCCATACTTCAGATTTTGTTGTATGTAAAATGTAATTGCATGAATATTCACAAACATTAATTCAAACCCACATTGACTCACTTTATAAAATTCATGAAGTTACATAAGGACACATGAGATTCACCAAACCACTGATTTTGTGTTTCTGCACACAGACCAGAATGGAATCTACTTTTGGACCCACGTTTTCTGCAGTCGCACCAGTTAGCAAAGGTAAGCACCAGCAGTTCACTGTAATTTCTTAATATAGTTACTGAAATATAAAACACAAACTGTTAGACATACATCTTCATCAGGCGCTCAGAAAAGCTGTAAATGTGATAAATGAAATTATTTTTGCAGCGTATATGACTTTAACCTGTGAAACACTGAGCGCTCCACAGAATAATGAATTGTAGTGTAGGATGACCCGGTTCTGCTATCGATTAGCCCTCAGGCCCTCGGGCAGTGGGCTGCGCAGTCGGATCGATCCATTGTAATAACGATGGTGTGAAATTTCAGCTGAGACGACCAGTAATTACAAACAGCACCGCAGGACCCCTTCGTCCTCCAGCACCCTGACCTACTCTCCACGGGACGACGACGATGGCATGGTAATCACAGCCCGGCGCTGCTGAAGCCCGCTTACTGACACTGCTTATTTACACCGGCCCAGATTAGGCCTGAGTCTAGACTGAAAAGGATTTTCAGTGATGAGTCACCATGGGTAATGCAGATTAATTAAAAAGACTAGGATTAATCAAGGAATACAGCCTAAATGTCCAAGAGTATCAAGCTACCCTTTCTGAAATCAAAGAACTGGGCTATTGAAGGTCCACCAGGTAGAAAACTGCATGCTAGCGTTAAAGCAGCGCTAAATAAGTTTAAACTGAAAGTGTCATTACTGAGTCAGGAGGAAAAAAACTATACAATATGGTGTGTGAGCTGCTGTGAGTCGCCCGGTAAAGCCTAAAATAATCATTTAAAAGTGAGAGGTGTCAAGTTTTTCACACCACGTCATACCGCGTCACACACACACTCTAAAAGAGGGTCCGGCTCAATGTTCAGGCCTCAAATGATCTCAGAACCAGCATCATACTGATGAAGTAAATGATTCTCTCACATCCTCGGAAGAGGCTCCTTCACCAAGTTTTGAGTTCTCTGAGTTCTCAATGTCTTTGCAAAAGTCAGATTCATCCACTTGTGGTTGTCTGCAGCACAGCTGACGATACAAAATGTTCTTCTACACATTGCGTGCAGTTACATATTGCAACCACAGAGGGCTCCAAATCCCCAAATGTAACATAGTGCTGCTTAAACTGAGTGAAGCTTTATTCAAAACATCTGGGATTAGTCAACATTCAGCTCAGTTGAATGTCTTTGGGATGAGTTGGAGTGATGAAGCTCCACTGAGCTCGTCTGGGATGAGTTGGAGTGATGAAGCTCCACTGAACTCCTTTGGGATGAGTTGGAGTGATGAAGCTCCACTGAACTCCTTTGGGATGAGTTGGAGTGATGAAGCTCCACTGAACTCCTTTGGGATGAGTTGGAGTGATGAAGCTCCACTGATCTCCTCTGGGATGAGTTGGAGTGATGATCACTTCCTATTAATGATTTCAACTATTGATCTTGGATACTTTTGGACATTTAGATCCAATTTCCTGAACATGGATTAAGCCTAGTCTGGGACTAATGTGTACCATCAGTGGTGATTTATCATTGAAAAGCCTTAAGCTCAACTTAAGACATAGGTAGTGCTGAGCAATATTGCTAAAGTATTTTTCTAATATAACAGCATCAGATGATATTTAAAGGGAAATTCCACCAAAAGTCCAACATACCTGTGTAATCCAGTGTGTGAGATGTAATCAGAGAGATTCAGAGTGGTTTGGTGTGAAATGGTTCAGATGTCTTTACAGTGGTGCTGATAGGAACCAGGGGTCGCCATGACTACAACACAAATATAGACATTTTATTTACTATCCAGAACCACCAGTGAACCTACACGAGTCTTCTGAGTTTATATGGAATGCTGATGATGGAAAATAGTGGAAATCTGAAATAATAAGTTTTCTATGGGGACTGTTTTGCCTCACAGTGCCCTGCATGTATCCCTCCACCATGAATGGAGTTTAAGTTCTCTAAACTATCATGAAACAGTGTCTCAGTCATCAGGCAGTGAATTCATAACCATTTCATGTAGGAACTTTCTGTGAGGGAGCTTTTAGAGGTGGACGTCTGGTTCCTATCACCACCACTGTGAACAGTTCTGGTAAGTTTCTCTATAACAGAGCGTTTCACACCAAACCACTCTGAACCACTCTGAACCACTCTGAACCGCTCTCCTGTTTTGCTTCTATTAAAATTACACAAAAAGGGAACTTCATAGAGTGTTGTGAACATGAATCAAACAGAAATTAAACATACTTTTTATTTAGTTGCTTTTTCAAAACAGTGTGAATTATCCAGCAAATTACAAACAGAACAGTGAAGTTTTTGATACTGATTATTGTTGCTAAACATTAGTATAGTCAGTATGTTGCCCAGCGCTGCCTGCAGCGAATGCTGCCATTCTGCAAAACAGTTGAGAGGTGTTTTGAGTCCTGCTTTTCCATATGGTGCGGTGTGGTGGGCATCGTTAGCTCTGCTGATGAATTGCTTTGCTGTTTTTGTCTTTCTCTGATTACTGCTGAGCTCTGGCTCTACCTGAGAGAACAGCAAGCTGTCCTGTTTTGTCCAGCCAGCTGCAGCACCCAGACCTGAATGTTTCCTAGCTGAAAAGGGAATTATTATTTATAATGATGCAAACTGATGACTTTAGTTTTAGATCATTTTAAGTGCTGCACCAGCGAAATAGACAAGTGGAATTAGATTAATCAACACAAAAACGGCAAACGAGCCTAATTGTGCCGTATCAGCCACGTCCTAGAGTTCCTGACCGTGTGTCTGTGTGTAGCCCCCCATCGGAACTCCACGCCGGTCAGACTCCGCCATCTCCGTTCGCTCTCTTCACTCGGAGTCTAACATGTCCCTGCGCTCCACGTTCTCCCTGCATGAAGAGGAAGAAGACACGGTTAGTACCAGCATCACCTTCACCTCTAAACACTGAGGTTGTCATCAGCAACATCAATTATGGAAAAGGTTTACACTTTATTTACTTACAAAGAGCTCTATAGTGTTCACACGATCCACACAGTCACTCTGACAGACTGTAATACACTACAGGAAGTGCAGGGGGCGATATGGCTTCTACTGTTTCATTTAAAAAGCTCTATAATGTTCATATGATCCACACAGTCACTCTGACAGACTGTAATACACTACAGGAAGTGTAGGGGGCGATATGGCTTCTACTGTTTCATTTAAAAAGCTCTATAATGTTCATATGATCCACATGGTCATTCTGACAGACCGTAATACACTACAGGAAGTGTAGGGGGCGATATGACTTCTACTGTTCCATTTAATTTAATGATAAATTATTCTAATATTGCCCAGCTCTAGTTGAAATCGAGTTTGTGTAGCTCAGAGCAGTTGAGCTTGTGGTGAATGTGTTTCTGACAGGCCTGCTGAGCCTTACAGGAAACTGACAGTGCACCCCCCCCGCCCCCCTGTCTCTCTCTCTCTCTCTCTCTCTCTCTGTCTCTCTCTGTCTCTCTCTCAGGAGCCGCAGGTGTTTGCGGAGCAGCCCTCGGTGAAGCTGTGCTGCCAGCTGTGCTGCAGTGTGTTTAAGGACCCCGTCATCACCACCTGTGGGGTGAGTCGTCCACCCCCCACCCCACCAAAGCATTAGCCTGTCTGCTGGCTGCACTTCACATATTGACTTCACATCAGTCAAACGAGTCATATTGCAATTATATTGATATTTAAGTTGAGATGAAGCTGAAATTTTACTGTCCCTCTCTCTCTTTATCTTCCTCCAGCACACCTTCTGCAGGCGGTGTGCCTTAACCTCAGGTAGGAGTAACTGCTATCCTTCTGCACTCTCAGCTGCTTTTATGTAGGTGTTATAAATTCTTAATTCACAGCATTAACACATTTTCCTAGTTTGACCCTTCGACCCATCCGTAGCTGTGCAGGCTGAAGCCCAGCTGCACTGTACTGTATGTTGCTCTGATAGAATCTGTGGTACTTTTAAGGCCCAGTCCCATTTCTTCTTTTTACCCCTACACCCTGTTTTCGAGTGTTGCCCCTTGGAACTGAGTTACAGGGTAGTGGTTGAGATCTTCCCTCTGAAATGGGACCCTCAAATAAAAAGAGCATCACTTCATTAACAGCTACTAGCGCTGCTCTGTGGGCGACCCTGCCAGTCTGCAGTTTAGCTAACTAGCTACTGAGATATCAGCACAACTAGTGATTTTTTTTATGCTTGTTATGAAGGAAAAAGACCAAAATACACTGAAACGACATTAAACTAAGAAAATACTATGGTTATCGTAATTTTTTTAACAGAGAAAATTCTCACATCTGTGGGTTTCTTTGGTCTCTTGTTCAGCCAGTAACACTGACGTGGTGGTGGTGTGTTAGTGTGTGTGTTGCGCTGGTCTGAGTGGATCAGACACAGCAGTGCTGCTGGAGTTTTTAAACACTGTGTCCACTCGCTGTCCACTCTATTAGACACTCCTACCTTGTCGGTCCACCTTGTAGATGTCAGAGACGATAGCTCATCTGCTGCTGCACAGTTTGTGTTGGTCATCGTCTAGTCCTTCATCAGTGGTGACAGGATGCTGCCCACAGGACGCTGTGGGCTGGATATTTTTGGTTGGTGGACTATTCTCAGTCCAGCGGTGACACTGAGCTGTTTAAAAACTCCAGCAGCACTGCTGTGTGTGATCCACTCAGACCAGCGCACTAACACACCACCACCACGTCGGTGTTACTGCAGTGCTGAGAATGATCCACCACCTAAACAGTACCTGCTCTGTGAGGGTCCATGGGGGTCCTGACCACTGAAGAACAGGGTAAAAGGGGGCTAACAAAGTATCAGAGAAACAGATGGACTACAGTCTGTAACTGTAGGACTACAGAGATCTACATGGTCAGTGGAGCTGATGAGTGTAGAAACAAGGAGGTGGATTAATGAAGTGTGTATTAGGCTCATGCGCAGCTGCTCCGGTCAGTGCTTTTCTGTGCAGGCTGTGTCAGCAGTGGCTGACATGAAGGTAGCTGAAGTCACTCATTAGAAGGACTGGAGGCTTTTGGACAGATAGACTGTTTTCTGTTGGTCCGTTCGTCATGAAATGTTCGCACAGTGTGAAGGGAAACTGGAGTAGCTGTTTTGATTTGATGGGCTGCTCCAGTGTTAGGAAACTCTGCGCTGTCTAAACTTGCCTCACTAGTCCACAAAAATCTTTATCTATTTCAGTTTTTGGTTCACCAGAAGGGAAGTTTGTGATTCTTGCACTGCTTCTTTTCAGAGTTTCTGTTCTTACAGGTCTGATTTCCCTCAGGACAGTGTCACTTAGTGTCTCTGTCTCTCTGCAGAGAAATGCCCGGTGGACAACTCGAAGCTGACGGTGGTGGTGAATAACATCGCGGTGGCGGAGCAGATCGGGGAGCTGTTCATCCACTGTAAATACGGCTGCAGGGCCGCAGCCTCGGGCAAACCCGGAGCCTACGAGGTCGACCCGCTGGGCTGCCCCTTCACCATCAAACTCAGCACCAGGAAGTGAGAACACACTCTATTTACTCATATCTGGCCACAGAGGGAATTCCCGAAGCACACTGGGCTTCATTCACAAATGTCTTCCTAAGTTTGTTCTTAAGTGTGTTCTTGAAAAGGTCCTAAGAAAAAGTCTGCGTCAGATTCATGACGTGTTCTTAGAGCGCAGAACTGTTCTCAGCTTGGTGCTCTTGAGTGTGTGTAGATTCTGTTCTTACCTGTAAAACTCCAGAACTGATCAGACGCTCGCGGATGGAATTAGAAAAGGAGGCTGTACTGATTGAAACACTTTCCAAACTCGTAGTCAGAATACAGACAACGGTCCGATCCAAAACAGTCCAAGAACAAAAGACAAACATTACCAGAAGGCAGATAAAATCCAAAAGGCAGAGTCGCAAATCCAGAAAAACAAGTAGGCAATACAAGAAAAAACGCTTAGTAGCTCAGAAGAAAGCATTACCTGACCTAACTACAGCCCGGGCTTTAAATACTGCCCTAGGTCACATGAACAAGGAGGACAGGTGAAACATATCAGTAATCTGGTGAAGCGGAGCGATGATAGGTTGTGGAATGAGAGTCAGCAGTCACATGATCCCCAAGGGAGTTGTGGGAGTTGGAGTTTTCAGGTAGACCTGATCCAGATGGCTGTGTGACATAACTTAAGAACAAATCCCTGATAAGAGATCACTGGTGAGTCAGAATCTTCGTCAGAACTGCGTAAGCGAGTTTAAGAAGAAGTTTCTTCTAAAGAGCGGTTGGTGAACGAGGCCCAATGTTCTCAGATTAGGCTGATTATTTTAAGGAATAGTTCAGTGAAAAATCTAATGTAAACTCAGATCAGCAAGCGCATATTTAGGGTCTGAATCTAGCTTCTTTAGTTTTAACACTGGAGCTATGAGGCTGAGGTTGCTAACACTGGAACTCAGTATTCACCCAGATTTTTTCCTCAGATGCATCCCTAAAACTTCTTCCAGTCAGTTGTGTTTTTACTGTTTATGGTAGATAAGTTAGCCAGCTTGATGATTGCTAGGTTAGCTCCTTGGCTAAGCGCAGCTGCACACCAGACAACCACTGGCTGCCAGCCATGCCAGTTGTGTACACTTTTTTTACGACTCAGTACTCAGCACTGTACTATGGTGAGTATTTACGTCAAAGATCACAAGTAAGGCTGCTTCTATTTTGCATTCCTTTCCAGATGAATTGAAAGATTTTCATTACAAATTCTATTATGAGCCTAACATTTTGTGTAAAAAGTGGAGTCTTTGAAATTTTAACATGAATTTCAGTATTTCTTAGTATCTGGTTTGTCCTTCTTTTGCTTTAACAACTGCATGGACTCCACAAGTTTGTGTGAAAGTGCCTGATCAGCAGATCAGATCCACCTGAGAGGCGTCTAAACACGAGCTTCACTAGAAGAGATTAGACTAAAAAAAACAGACCTTTTTGTACAAATGTCAGTGTCTCAAATTTGAGCAGCGACGTAGAAATAATGCCGAATTTTTAATATTTCTTCTTCATTTTACTCATGATAAGTAAAGTTGCAGAGTTAGCTTGATTTCTGCACCAAAATTGAGGATTTCTTTATTGGCAATCTCCCAGACCAGCTTTGATTGTTCCCGTTTTGCAGCATGACGTAAACTACTGATTTCTTGAACCTACAGCCCACAAACTATAACCAGCGGTGGCTGTTCTATGGAAACCTCAAAGTTCCTGAGTTCCTGGAAGGGTTCCTGTGGTGGAAACATGCCTTTTGAGATCGTTTCCACCCCCATCAGTGCGCTGGTGGCTTGGCCAGAGAGACTAACTGTGCTGCTGGGCTTCGTTTGTTTGTTTGTTTGTTTGTTCAGAGATCACGAGGGGAGCTGTGACTACAGGCCAGTTCGCTGCCCAAACAACCCCAGCTGCCCTCCACTGCTCACCATGAACCTGGAGGCTCATCTGAAGGAGTGTGAACACATCAAATGCCCTCATTCCAAATACGGGTATGCAGCGTCTACAGTTAGAACTGCTGTCTGACTGTGCTATTTAAATATAATGATATAATTACACTATAATTTGCAGAGTTAATTAAATAATTATATTTATATAATGAATTGCTTTTATATTTGGTTTCTCTTCTGCATGACTCAGGTCTGCACTTCTGACTGCTTTAACATTAAAAGAGTTAAGCAAATGTACAAATACAGTATGACAAAATTACAAATGCAGCTTCTGGGAGTCCAAATAAAAAAATAAAAAATAATATGGTGAAAAGTTAAATTAGTGAAATTAAGTAAAAAAGCACTGAGATGTTTATATATTTATATATTCATCTATTCTGTTTTGGCAGATGCACCTTCATCGGTAACCAGGACACGTATGAAACTCACCTGGAGGTCTGCAAGTTCGAGGGTTTGAAGGAGTTCCTGCAGCAGACGGACGATCGCTTCCACGAGATGCAGGTGACTCTGGCTCAGAAAGACCAGGACATCTCCTTCCTCCGCTCGATGCTCGGCAAGCTGTCCGAAAAACTGGACCAGCTGGAGAAGAACCTGGAGCTCAAGTTTGGTGAGACCATTAGCGCACGTGTAGTCGTGTCCTAAAGAGTGAAAATGTCTGTGAAATGTAACGACATCAGAAACCTTTAAAAGGGTCCTATTCTGCTTTTCCAGTTTTTCTCTTTTCTTTAGTGTGTTTTAGCTTTTCATGCGTCTAAACAGTCTGCAAAGTCCAAAAATAAAAAATAAAATAATAAACATAATAATAAAATAACCCTCTTTTGCAGTAAAATAATCGTTCAACACAGTTTAACAATAAATGGTCTTAAACTCTGGAGTTAATGTAGAACTGCTAATTCACCCTTTAACCCTGAAGATCAGCGCAGACTGCTGGTCACCATAGCAACACAGACAACAGTCTCGCCTAGCTAGTAGCTAACAAAACAGCAAAGAGAGAGATTTAAGACGAACATCGATAATTTGGAGACAAATGGACTCATTAGTGTTTATAATCACTCCAGCTGGTTTCCTGATACGTTTAATCTGCAGTGAGAAACTGACAAACACTGAAAAGTCATGAAGCTTAAGTGAGTTTCTCATTCACCAGCTTCTTGTTCGATTTTGCCCGTTCCACCTTAAATGGTGCAGCAGTTACATTCTGGCGCATCAGGCACCATTTAAGGTGGAACAGGAAATTAGAACTAGAAGCTGGCGAATGAGAAGCGACTTCAGCCTCGTAAAAATTGAACATTGAGAGACATTTTATAACAAAATATTCTACTTTTGCGAAAAGTTTCCTGCCAGAGATGCGAGAAAAGCGGTTATAGCTGAGCTAAAGATTAAAGAAGAGTACAGGAAGTCTGTGTTTTTGTATGTATTTTTAATTATTTACTAGCACATCAGCACAAAGTGACACATATTTACAACCAAGATGGTAAAATGGACATGAAATGTTGTGGCTCCCAAGGTGTTTTCCGAATAACTTTGGATCTTTTTCTGTTGGTCCATTCATTGTGAGGTTTTGACACATCATGAAGGGCAACTGACCTTTTTAAATTAAAATGGATCAGACACAGCAGCACAACACACACTAACACACCACCACATCAGTGTTACTGCAGTGCTGAGAATGACCCACCACCCAAATAGTACCTGCTCTGTGAGGGTCCATGGGGGCTCCTGACCACTGAAGAACAGGGTAAAAGGGGGCTAACAAAGTATCAGAGAAACAGATGGACTACAGTCTGTAACTGTAGAACTACAAAGTGCACCTATATAGTAAGTGAAGCTGATAAAATGGACAATGAGCGTAGAAACAAGGAGGTGGTCAAGATGTTATGCCTGACCGGTGTATGTAAATGTGTGTGTATATGTATGTTGCTCAGTGGTATCGCTATCATCTCTGCTGTTCAGTGACTTTTTCTAGCTTCATCTGAGCAACGGTTGCTGTGCTGTTTTCCAGATGTGCTGGATGAGAACCAGAGTAAGCTGAGTGAAGATCTGATGGAGTTCCGTAGAGACGCCTCTATGCTTAACGTAAGCACAAATGTATTCCTTCCTGAGTACGTCAGTTAAACAGCTCTACTGTTGAGTTTCTGCATACTTGCAAATACTCAGACACTCTTAAAGTCAGTATATAGAAGTTTGATTCAGTTTAGTGAACCGATTCTGTTAAACCTTCTAGTTCAATTAATCAAATGTCTGATTCACTGACTCATTAATTCACTAGTTGAGTCAGCTTCCTCATCTCCTCCAAATTCAGTCGGACTTAGAAGCCAAATACAGTCTACGAAGAAAATAGTGAGCAAGGTGGTCCTTAAAATGCTAGAATGTGGCTTTTTATCTTAGGATTTTATAAGGTTGAAATATAAAACACTGCTAGGCGTCAGTGCAGTCACCCCTCCCTTTAGAAGCCACCCCCCCCCACCCCCCACCCCAATTCATGGGTGCGCGTTGCCGAGGTGAACGTCACTGGGCTAGCAAACTTATTTTTTTTTAGAACTTTGTGGCCATAAAACCCTTCACAAATGACGTATGGGTGATATAATGTTAGAGCGAACAGCAGCACAGCAGGTACTGTGACTAACGTTAACACAGCCTCCTCATCCGTTTTCATGCCTTTCAACTCTCGCTGAAGCTGAGGTCGGCTTCACTTGCGTCAGCTTCACTTGCGTCAGCTTCACTTGCGTCAGCTTCACTTGCATCAGCTTCTTTTTTCGTCAGCTTGTTTTTTTGCAAGCATCTTTTTTTGCCAGCATTTTTTTTCATCAGCTTCTTTTTTTGGTAGCTTTTTTTTCATGAGCTTCTTCTTTTGCGCAGCTTCTTTTTCTTTGTTCTTCAGACGTTCTCCTCTTTTTCTGTTTCTCTACCATCTCTCCTTCTTAACCATTTGTGGAGTTCAGCGCATACACCAGCCTGCACACAGAGCGGAGAGCTAGCAGACTGTGAAAAGATGCTCACTGAATTTGACAGAGTGTACTGGATTAACATCGTTTACTGCACCTTTAAGCCCATAACAGTTTGATTCAGTTGGACTTCGGCTAAAATATATCAAAAAGCTCTGGTTTAAAGAAGTAGCTGCAGTGCTCATGCATTAGTACGAGTTTGCAGTAGAACTGGGATTTATTTGTTTTTACATATGTTGACATTTTTTGTCCAAACTTTAATTCTCCTCTGTCTCCTTTCAGGATGAACTGTCTCATATTAATGCCAGGCTCAACATGGGCATCCTGGGCTGTGAGTACCTGTTGACTGATTATTTGATTAAAATGCACACAACACTGCACAACAGCTATTACAAACACTCAGATCACAGAGCACTAAAAAGCCTTATAATATTAATGACTTTATTTATATAGCGCCTTACATACATATAAATAGGAGTATGAACAGATGAGCAATAAAATATAAAGAGAATAGAATAAAACAAACAATGAGAATGAAAAATAAGGCAAATTAAGAAAAAAACAATGAACAAAACAAGATTTGAAATAAAATCAGGGACTAACAGAATGCTAAGCTAAATAAAAACATTTAGATGTTTTTAAAGCTGGTTACAGGTGATGCCTGATGAACATTAACTGGTAAATGCGCTTCAGTCTGTTGTGATCCCCATCATATAAGACAAAAACACAACGTGAACATGACGCCATGCAAGACAATAAAAACAACAAACACTGCAGTTTGGATTTTCCATTTAGTTGCTCTCTACAAATAAGACAGAACAGTACATCAAACTGTTCAGTATCCGTCTTTTAAAGACTTTTCCGGCCTGTGCAGGTTTTGATTGCCGTATTTTAGCCAAATGCTGACTGTACATCCGTGTGTCTTGCAGCGTACGACCCTCAGCAGATCTTTAAGTGTAAGGGGACGTTTGTGGGCCACCAGGGGCCGGTGTGGTGTCTGTGTGTTTACTCCACCGGCGACCTGCTCTTCAGTGGATCTTCCGACAAAACCATCAAGGTATGTACAAAACACTGTAATTTTGGCTCTGTCATCAGGAGATCGCGAGTTCGATCCCTGGTGATGTCACAGCCGTCTGTGGCCTTGCTGGGTGGGTAGGATGGCCCCCCTTCTCCCGCCATCACCCAATGCAGTGCTATTCAGCACAGGCGTCTGTTAGCTGACGTAACAGATCTGGCGGTTGGCGCTTTCCTCCGAGCGCGCTCGGCTGTCCAATGACGTAGCGTGAGCGCCAGTTCAAAAAGATGCGGTGGCGCTGCACACATCTCAGAGGAAGCCAAATCGTGTGATTTGGGGGAGTCCTAACTAGCGGATAGAATTGGAGACGACTAAATTGGGGAGAAAATCAGGGAAAAATCCTGATTTACTTATGGGCTGAAATATTGTCTCAGTTGTTGTATTTACTGAGATCGTCTTAAATCAGTTTGAGCTGTTGGCTCTGTTGCATAGTTTGTTTTGACCTCACTCAGTGACGGCTGGTCGTCCCATGAACTACTTCACTTACATTAATACGGGGAGATTCACTCGAAAGAGGCCCCGAATGTTCTGTTGTAGCTCCTGTTAGGATGAAGCAATCTGAACCAAAAAAATACACTACATACCTTGACGTATGTGTAATCGATTGCAGTTCATGCGATGCTGGAAGTGATCTCCGTTTTCTGCCAGACACATGAAGGGGTACGGAGTCCGACGCAGGGGCATCCCGGCTTGTTCGAAGCTCCATATACTGAGGAGCTCATTGCACATTGTTTCGTTCAGATTGATTCGTCCAAGAGAGAGTTATTACAGAATATTCGGGGCCTCTTTCAGCTGAATCTCCCTGTATATTTACAAATTACCAGTGTATTTACATTGACGTATGTGCACATCAGCGTTAACTCGTTTTAACGTATTACATATGCGTTTACATGTATGTGATCCTGTTGTCTCTTTTTTTCCTCTGTGCTTTTAGGTTTGGGACACTTGCACTACGTATAAGTGCCAGAAGACCCTGGAGGGGCATGATGGGATTGTGCTGGCGTTGTGTATTCAGGGGTAAGTGTTTGGAGGTGCAGACGAGGAGAGTGACTCCGTCTGAGCAGAGACTAGGGGTTATACGGACTGAGTAAGAAAGGGTCGGATCCTCCGGATGTTGTACAGCAGAAACCTGCATGACCGAGTCAGGTTCGCAGTCGCAAAGTTCTCGACTGAGAGGGTGAGGTCATGATGAGGACCTGCAGCTACAGGGATGAACAGCAGCTCAGTCTTGCTGGGATTGAAAGTTGGATTTTTGAAGTTGCTTGTTGCAGAGCTGCCCCTTTTCCTCTGGTACTCATGACGTCATCAGCGTTTAGTCCACGTCGACTTGATTTTCGTCACATAACTGTCGACGTTCAGCAGAAATCTTCATGTATATAGCTGTAAGGAAGCACGCTGTCCAGGGAAGCAGCTGTCGAGAAGGTTGCTGTAAATAGGAACGGTCGAGAAGGTTAACGTCCAGAGACACAAACGTAAAGAAGCTTGGCGTCCATTAGGGGTGCAACGATTATTCGACTTTGTCGACTAAAATCGACGACCAAATTAGTTGGCAGCTAATTTAGTAGTTTCTTAGTTGATGACGTCATTACACGTATTTCTTGCGCTCACTAGAAATGTTTCATTACTGCTTACTGGAGAGTTTATAACAGCGCGATGGCAGCCTCAGGAACAAAATCCTCCGAAGTGTGGAAGCTAAACTCAGAAAAAACGTTGTCAGTTGTGCTATTTGTAAAGCTGACCTTAGCTGGCCCAGGAGCACGTCCTCCATGAAGGAGCATCTGAGGATTAAACTTGTCGGCTCACTGGATGAAGAAGATTCATCTCGGTAAGATACGCCGCGTCCCAAACCGCATACTAGCTCACTAAATAGTGCATATACCATTAGAAGTGCACTCATTAGTGTAGTGTGTGACGTACAGAAGTGTGTGGTTTGGGACGCGGCGATAGCTGCGCTAGTGAGCTAATGGTAGTGTTAAATTCCGTCTAACTGTATGTTCTGAGCTGAGCTGGAACGTTTGAGTTCTGAAATGCTGCTCTCTGGAATCGTTAATGGAGTTTGAACAGAGGAGCAAGTAACTATTATTCACAGCGACTCTGTTCACTTCCAGATAACGTTTACACTTTTAAACACTGCATCGTCGTCTTAGCGTCTAATTCGGCGAACACAGGAGAGCCTTTTCAAACAGGTCTCTGTTCTCCGCGAACGTTTAGCTCCTCTCTCTAACAGTTTCAGGACGTAGTTCTCTGTGAACACGCAGGAGAACAAGTTTGCAAACGTCCGCCACTTTCTACTCCGCTCCATCAGAGCGCGTCTCCTCTGCAGCTCTCAGACGAGAGCGAGACTCTCACAGGAGCACAGAGAGATACTGACTTTCCTCCGTTTCAGTAAAGACCTGTGACTGCAAACATTTAGTTGCAGCAGAGTTTAGACAGACAGCAGAGCACAGATCACAGACTGCACTGTTTAAATGTAACATTGAGATTTAGATTGATTTTTTTATTTACTTGATTAAAGAAAAACTGATTTCATTTTGTTATATTTTATTACTGCTACTTTACACATCCTTGGTTCTAGGGTTAGGCTTAGGGTTTTTATCTTTTGTATTAGCAGTAAAGTTCACTAAAACGGTGATTTTTTTTAAAGGTATTCATCTTTTATTGTCTTCTTCCTGTCCTCAAGCTAAATTTCTTCTGTCCTCAAGCTAAATTTAAAAACTAACAGCTACATAAAAGTTATTTGGTAATGTAGTGAGTCATAATCCGAATAATCGATTATTCGTTTCAGTAATCGATAGACTATTCGACTATCAAATTAGCCGTTTGTTGCAGCCCTGGTGTCCATAGAAACGGTTGTAAAGAAGATCAGCGTCTAGAGAAATAGCCGTAACGAAGGCCGATGCTGGAACAACCTGAAACCTGAACTTGGAGCCAAGAAACCCCAAACATTATTGATTTTTTTTATTATAAATTATCAGTGATTAAATATTTTAGTTTGTTAGTTTGGCTCAGTTTCGGGTTTACAGGTTTCTGCCTGTTCAGGTAAAGGAGTCTTTTTGATGTCCAATGAGTGGACAGAATCCCTTATAATGGTTATTCTACTCTCTCTCTCTCTCTCTCTCCCTCTGTCTCACTACTGTCTCTCTCTCTCTCTCTCTCTGTCTCACTTACTGTCTCTCTCTCTCTCTCTCTCTCTCTCTTTCCCTCTGTCTCACTTACTGTCTCTCTCTCTCTCTCTCGCTGTCTTACCCACTGTCTCTCTGTCTCACTCACTGTCTCTCTCTCGCTGTCTCACTCACTGTCTCTCTGTCTCTCTCTGTCTCACTCACTGTCTCTCTGACTCACTGTCTCTCTCTCTCTCTCACTTACTGTCTCTCTCTCTCTCTCTCTCTCTCTCCCTCTCTCTCTCTCTCTCTCCCTCTCTGTCTCACTCACTGTCTCTCTGACTCACTCTCTTTCTCTCTCTCTCTCTCTCTCTCTCTCTCTCTCTCCATCTCACTCACTGTCTCTTTGTCTCTCTCACTCTCTCTGTCTCTCTCTCTGTCTGTCTGTCTCTCTCTCTCCTGCAGGAATAAGCTGTACAGTGGTTCTGCTGACTGCACCATCATTGTGAGTGAGACTCCTTAAATTACTACCAGCAGCAGGTCTGAGTGTTCGAGACCGTCTCCTGTTCAACTGTCTGATGTGTGTCTGCGTCTGTTCTCAGGTTTGGGACATTCAGACTCTGCAGAAAGTGAACACGATCCGTGCGCATGATAACCCCGTGTGCACACTCGTCTCCTCCCACAACATGCTCTTCAGCGGCTCCCTCAAAGCCATTAAGGTCAGTTTCCCCCAGCAGCGTCTTCCTGCAGAGGACCTTGTGGTCAGTGGCGTAAATCATCCTAAGTAAATTTTGACCTTAAGTTTCCTCTTTACTTTAACCCTCTGGGATCTGAGGTTATTCTCTGGATTTGTTCATCTCTTCTTAAACTCTCCTTTAAAGGCTCTTCATATAACATGATCCTCATATGTTTCATATCTAAATGCTCCGTTATCTTCATCACTACTTTCCAAAACCGCTGCAGCAGCTTCAGCAGCTGTAAACTTTCTGCACACCATTTCTCACGAGTCTCCGATGTGGACTGAATGAAGAATGAAGGGTTTCCGGCGTGATGGTCAGTGCTTAGTGACTTCCTGAGTTGATTTTGGGAAATGTTAAGTGGAAAGAGACCATTATTGTAAATTGAATTATAGACCTGAAGTCTAAATTTCAGCACTTGCGTGTTTGACAGTTGTGAAGGGTGAATGTAAATTTAAATTGTTTCATTCTACTCAAGATACTTTATGGAAGTAGCCGCTGGACTTAATCCGGCTCTTAAAGCGACACTTCAGTGAAAAATCCAGTTCCCTCAGTTTCCCCCTTTACTTCAAATGTAGACCAGCCCAGATGTGTTTGGTGTCTGAAGGTATTTCTTTAGTTGGAGCTAAGAACGTTGTGCTATCTGCACACCTCAGTCATCACACATTCACTTCAGATCATTGTAAGATGTCAGGTAATGGTCAAAGTCCAGAGTGAAGAGATGTAACTTCAGCTCAGTGTGAAGAAAACGGGTTGAGCTAACTTTACCACTGATGGTGAAGAAATAGTAGACTTTTGGATCATTTGACCCTTTTCACAGAAGACAGACGTGCATAAACACCAGCTAAAACAATTTGACATCGTCTGTCTACGATCTTGCGAAGTTTAGTGGTTCTGCAGGTAAACTGCGACCTGGAAAACGGTACAAAGTTTAGAATAATAAAACAGAGTCGTGAGTTGGCTTTGTCAGGCTTACTTAAATATGTGTTTTCTGACTCTGTATGTTTATTAACATGGACTAAGAGGTCTTTAATTAAAATTCAGTAAGGTCCAGTCAAAGAAAGTTTCCTCAAGCGAAGGTCCGGAATCATAATGTCTAACTTACATCATGATTCAGTGCCATATACTGTTTACTGAAGTAGCCTAGTAGGTATATCAGCATCTTATACAGTCAACAACTGAATATCAAATCAAATAAAGTCCAATTCAGTCAAATTTCAACAATATTTATTGTCAGTTTTCTCTTTTTAGATCACGTCATGTGAAATAACTTCCCTCTGACTCACTTTCTTCTCTGACTGCTGTGTCTCGCCTCGTCCCTCCCCTGTTTGTGCGTCACTCACTCGAGTCTCAGTGCTCATCGTAATGTACAGATCTGATTGGCTGAGTAGCGTCACGTGTGATATTTACAAGGCATGCGATTGGTCTGTGAGTCTCCCGGGCCGCTAAAGCTACCGTAAAGGCTAGAAACGATGCGCCGATTAAAATAGGACCACCCCATCAAAATTAAATAATTCTCCATAGTTTATCGGTTATAGGTCCAGGTCCGCACAGGACAGCGTCTGGGTCTGGACTCGGACCGCGGTCCGCCTGTTAGTGACCTCTGGAATAAAGTGTGTCACAAAGCTAAACACAGTAGCATTCAACTAGAAGCTTGAATTTAGAGACGAGTCTGACTGCAGAGCCGCAGATTTACACACGCAGTTTCACTCCAGAGGTTTCAGCTCAGGCGGGTGGAGCTCATGTGCAGCAGGACAGCACGACTGCGCCATGTAAACAAAGTCCTTATAGGAAAGTTGAGGGTTATGGGGCCGGACTCCTCATTTATAACGTCTCTGATGTAAACAGTGACTGTTTGTGCCGGTTGTGTGTCTCCATGGATATTACCATTCAGGAAGGGAGACCGCTGACAATATTCGAATCAGCCACTGGTAACCAGTTAAACCATAAACCAAAACACATTACAGAACCACCAGAAAAAGAAAAAGAAACACTTAATGGTTTCTGTGGGTTTTTTCAGCAGGGATACGTTCAAAAACTAGATTGTTTTGGTCTAAAGCTTAATATTATGCTCAGTTTAAACCTGCTTAAAAGTTTTAATAGGTAGATTCAACTTTGTACAAGGCAACGAAATGCAGTTACCAGTTGTGCAAATAGTAGCAATAGTGCAAAATGGACTGTGCAAATGTGCAATAACAGGCATAAATATGACATATCTATGAAATATATAACTGCACCGGTCAGGCATCACATTCTGACCACCTCCTTGTTTCTGCGCTCATTGTCCATTTTATCAGCTCCACTTACTATATAGGTGCACTTTGTAGTTCTACAGTTACAGACTGTAGTCCATCTGTTTCTCTGATACTTTGTTAGCCCCCTTTTACTCTGTTCTTCAGAGGTCAGGACCCCCATGGACCCTCACAGAGCGGGTACTGTTTGGGTGGTGGGTCATTCTCAGCACTGCAGTAACACTGATGTGGTGGTGGTGTGTTAGTGTGTGTTGCGCTGGTACGAGTGGATCAGACAGAGCAGTGCTGCTGGAGTTTTTAAACACTGTGTCCACTCACTGTCCACTCTATTAGACACTCCTACCTTGTCAGTCCACCTTGTAGATGTAAAGTCAGAGACGATAGCTCATCTGCTGCTGCACAGTTTGTGTTGGTCATCCTCTAGTCCTTCATCAGTGGTCACTGGACGCTGCCCACAGGACACTGTTGGCTGGATATTTTTGGTTGGTGGACTATTCTCAGTCCAGCAGCGACACTGAGGTGTTTAAAAACTCCAGCAGCACTGCTGTGTCTGATCCACTCAGACCAGCACAAAACAGATGGACTACAGTCTGTAACTGTAGAACTACAAAGTGCACCTATACAGTAAGTGGAGCTGATAAAATGGACAATGAGTGTAGAAACATGCAGTTAGCACCATGCTAATTGGTGGGTATAAGCTTCCATTACTTGTTAGCTACATAAATCTCGTAGCTCCGGTGTTGAAATTAGAGGCAAACTTCAGACACCAAACGTGTCTCGGCTGATTGGCTACTTTGAAGTAGTTGGTGGGAAACTGGAGGCATTTAAGTTTTCAACAAACTTTCGCTTTAACACAGCCAGGCATTGAGCCCGATTAGCTGTGCAGACTGGCCACAGAGCCCAGGGGATTGTGGGATGGAATGGGATTTACTCAGAACTCTGACTCCTGATCCTGAGAGTACACAGTGTGCTCTTGTCTCCATGGCGATGGTGGTCAGGGTGGGTTACTAAATAAAAACAGCGAGTGATCTCATCACTGTGGGACTTTCCCAGATGTTCTCTCCAAATACGGCGTCTCCATGACTTGATGGAACGTTTCTGTTTGTGTGTGTGTGTGTGTGTGTGTGTGTGTGTGTGTGTGTGTGTGTGTGTGTGTGTGTGTGTGTGTGTCTGTGTGTGTGTGTGTGTGTGTGTATCTAGGTGTGGGACATTGTTGGAACAGAGCTAAAGCTGAAGAAAGAGCTGACTGGTTTGAATCACTGGGTTCGAGCTCTGGTTGCGTCTCAGAACCATCTGTACAGCGGATCCTACCAGACCATCAAGGTTAGAACACTCACATCCTTCCAATCATCAGCTACTCTGAATGAATGAGGAGTCAGGGGTTCACATCTCTGACCTCAGTGATTCACTTGAATCATTTAAAGATTCACAGATGAATCAAATCATGAAATCTCAAATGACACCACCATTTGATTAGATTATTATTAGGGGTGTAACGATTCTGAAACCAAGACTGAAATCGTAATATAAACGTCCGTGGCCTTGTGGCGCCCCCTGCGCCTCAGACTCACTTCTGGTGCAGCCTGTTGAGCTGTCATTACATTATTAATACAGCAAAACTCATTTTTAATTTCACTGTTAACACTGTAACACGTAAATCACGAAATTTTTTGAAATATTTTATTCAAAGCTAAGGCAAACTGTACACCATGTTCTTTAGCGTTCTCTTTAGTGTTCCAAATTTGTTGGTGATTTAATAAAATCCAGATTTTTTTTTCCCCTGATTTTTCTTGTTTACCCCCCATAAAAGCGAGGTATGAACCAAATCGTGGCTCAAAAGTTGAGGTCTAAACAGAACCATGGATTTGGAGAACCGTACACCCCTAAAATTTTTAAATGCTTTGAATATACAAACGTGACCCGAATAGGGAAAGTAGCCATGTCTTACATTTTTTCTGTTTTTGTCCCTTCGCAATGATTTCATTTGATTCAGATTCTTTAGGAGATGATTCAGTGCATCATGATTTGGTTCTTGATTCTTTTAATGTGATTCAGATTATTTTTTTTAAATCACTGAATACACAGATGTAAGGAACTGTTCACACAGTGGTGAAACATAATAATACACTGTTAGTTTGGGATTTTTACATTTGAAAATAGCAGGAGAGTTTAGTTTTATCCCAAAAATGAGTGCATATTCACTTATTATAACTGATTATAATTGATTCTTTCATTCTAAAACTGGTGCAGTTGAATCAGCACCTCCAGCATTGTTCATATTGTTCATACTTTTAAACCTGTACAGTGAATAGTCTCTGTTAAATAAACAGAGCTGCAGTGAGTAGAGGAAATAATAAAGTATTGGACTGTTCTCTGAGAGTCCTGAGCTCACAGTTATAAAACGTTCTGGACTGCGAACAGTGAGGACACAGCAGTGAGAGACGTTCTGTAGGAGCTCATAAAGCAGATAGAGCTGAACTGCAGGTCTAATTAAAGCTCCAGAGAGGAAAGAGACTCAGCACTGAACTCACTACTGCTTCCATTTACAGCCCAGAGAGAGAGACAGAGAGAAGTGAGGGAATACAGAGAGACAGCAAGATGAAGAATAGAGGGATCGAAAGAGAGAGAGAGAGAGGAGAAGAAACAAGATAAAAGGAGAGAAAAAAGGAGATGGAGGACAGCGGGACTTCAAATGAGTGAGAGAGGTGGGATAGGAGAGGAAGAGAGAGGGAAGGGAAAGGAGATAAAGAAGGGAATGGAGAACAGATGAGTGAGAGGAAAAGAAAAGAGGGAAGGAAGGAGTAAGAGTGACGTGGTAGAGGAGAGAGAGCGAGATAAGTAGGAAAGGAAAGAGGGGATGGGAAAAAGAGAAGAGAAAGTAAAGGAGAGAGCGAGAGAGAGGAAAGGTGAGGAAAGTGAGGAAAAGGGTAGAAGGATAGAGGTGGGAGTGGAAGGGAAAAGAGAAGGAAAGAAGATGGAAGGGGATGGTGACCAGATAAGTGAGAGAGAAAAAGAAAGAGAGGTGGGAAAGGGGTGAGAGAGGAAAGGTAAGAGAGTAAGTGAGAGAAGTGGGAAAGGAAAGAAGAGGGAGAAAATAAAGAATAGGGAGAGGGAGAGAGGAAAGAAGAGAAGATAAAGGAGATGGAAAATAGATGAGTCAGACCAAGAAGATAGAAGGAAGGGAATGGAGAGAAAAGGGAAGGGAGTGAGTGAGAGAAGTTGGAAAGAAAAGAAGAGGGAGAGAGGAAAATAAAGATGAGAGAGAGAGGAAACGTGTGAGAGAGAAAGGAATGGTGTGTGAGAGAGAGAGAGGAAAGGAGAGAGGGAGGAAAGGTGTGTGAGAGAGAGAGAGAGGAAAGGAGAGAGGGAGGAAAGGTGTGGTGAGAGAGAGAGGAAAGGTGAGAGAGAGAGAGGAAAGGTGAGAGAGAGAGGAAAGGTGAGAGAGAGAGGAAAGGTGAGAGAGAGAGAGAGAGAGAGGAAAGGTGAGAGAGAGAGGAAAGGTGAGAGAGAGAGGAAAGGTGAGAGAGAGAGAGAGAGAGGAAAGGTGAGGGGGAGTCAGTCAATTAGTACGGCTGTTCTTCTCTGAGGAGTTCTCTCTGACTTCCTGTGTGGGAGGGATTTAAATTGAGGACTCTGATAGGTCCAGCCTGATAACATGTCATGGTTACCATAGTAACGGCTGGACTTAGCGCTGCGGATGTGTTCAGTTTTTCCGCAGCTGATAAGGGCAGCCGGCTCTGTTGGAGCAGCGCTGATGTTCTACCTGCTGGAACAATAACGTGATTTATAACAGACACTGCACATCAGAAGTTTAGGGACACCTGAACTATTCAGATTTGACCATTTTTCTTAGTAAAAACTGCAGAACTGAAGGAGCTGCTAAAAGCCCTGCTTTAGGAATGAGCCCAGAGGACACAGACAGTCAGTAAAGCACAACCTGAAACTACTGGAGGATAAAATGAAAATAAAAATGTAACATTACATCAGCTAATATTACCGCTTATCAGAATTGTTATCCCTTAAAATCAGTGTTGGTCACAATTTTTATGTCAATATATTTTTATATTTCTGTTCTCTCTTTTTTCACTGAACCTCTCAGATCTGGGACATCCGCTCTCTGGAGTGCGTCCACGTCCTCCAGACCTCCGGGGGCAGCGTGTACTCCATCGCCGTCACCAACCACCACATAGTGTGCGGCACCTACGAGAACCTCATCCATGTGAGAATTCTTTATAAGAAAACTGCTCTGATTTTCCTCACAGTTACAGCTGTTCAGAGTTTATATATACAGCTGTTCATCTACAGACACTCCTATCACTGTTCAGACAGTGGGCGGAGCCAAGCTGATACAAAGTAGCCAGAGGAGCGTGACACAAAAGACAGAGAGCTCCATCATCGCTTGATCTGCATACATAAATACAGGTGTAGCGCTCGAGTTCCCATAAGTCTGCTGTTTGATGTGTTCCTCCTCTGCAGGTGTGGGATATAGAGTCTAAAGAGCAGGTGCGGACGCTGACGGGTCATGTTGGCACGGTCTACGCCCTGGCGGTCATCTCCACTCCAGACCAGACCAAAGTGTTCAGTGCCTCCTACGACCGCTCGCTCAGGGTGAGGTGATCTTTAGCTGCTCAGAACAGTCATGAAAGTCTGAAGAAGCTACAAGTAAATTTGGATATTAAATAATCAGTTTAGCTTCTTTAATATACATTGTCTTATTGAAGAACCATGAGCTGTCTGTATGTCCTCCACCAGAGGGCAGCGTAGAGCTGCATCTCACATTTTGTTCAAAGGTCCAAATAATGTTTAGTCCAGTGAAGAAATCAGAAAGACCACTGCAGCTGTCTAAAGGCTACCACACACAGTCTAAAGACTACTGCAGCCGTCTAAAGGCTACCGCACAGTCTAAAGACTACTGCAGCCGTCTAAAGGCTACCGCACAGTCTAAAGACTACTGTAGACGTCTAAAACCTACTGCACAGTCTAAAGACTACTGTAGACGTCTAAAGCCTACCACACACAGTCTAAAGACTACTGTAGACGTCTAAAACCTACTGCACAGTCTAAAGACTACTGTAGACGTCTAAAGCCTACCACACACAGTCTAAAGACTACTGCAGCCGTCTAAAGGCTACCGCACACTGTCTAAAGACTACTGCAGCCATCTAAAGCCTACCACACACAGTCTAAAGACTACTGCAGCCGTCTAAAACCTACTGCACAGTCTAAAGACTACTGTAGACGTCTAAATCCTACCACACACAGTCTAAAGACTACTGCAGCCGTCTAAAGGCTACCGCACACCGTCTAAAGGCTACCGCACACCGTCTAAAGACTACTGCAGCCATCTAAAGCCTACCACACACAGTCTAAAGACTACTGCAGCCGTCTAAAGGCTACCGCACACCGTCTAAAGACTACTGCAGCCGTCTAAAGCCTACCACACACCAGCTAAAGACTACTGCAGCCGTCAAAAGACTACCGCGCACTGTCTGAAATTACTGCAGCCGTCTAAAAACTACCACACCGTCTAAAATTTCTGCAGCCATCTAAAGGCTACCACACACTGTCTAAAGTTACTGCCACCGTCTAAAGGCTACCGCTCATGGAATAAAAGCTACTGCAGCTATATAAAGATTACTGCACATCATCAATTACTGCAGCCATCTGAATGCTACCACACACCGTCTAAAGACTACTACAGTCGTCTAAAAGCTACCACACGCAGTCTTAAATTACTGTAGCCATCTAAAGGCTACTGCACACAGTTTAAAGTCTACTGCAGCCATGTAAAGATTACTGCACATCGTCTAAAATTACTGCAGCCGTCTAAAAGCTACCGCACACCATCTGAAGACTACTGCAGCTGTCTGAAGCGTTAGCATTTGTCTGTTTATCTTAAAGCCCTTAGACGGATCTTTCTCTTTGTAAATGGTTTACCTTAAACGTCTTACTTTCTCACCTGCTACTGGTTGAGTTTATTACAGTGCAGTAGTTGATGGAGGTGCTTTTTTTGGACAGACAAATTCGAATATCAAATTTGAATGAAGTTCCCTGAGCTGGCATACACAGACACTGCTGTCAGTTTGAGTTACTTTGAGGAGCGTTTTTTTATATCTTTATATCTGAGTTTAGCTCCAGCCTAATCTGTCACACCTGATCCAGGTAATGAAGGCCTTCAGGGGCCTCTGAACATCAGAGCCAGGTGTGGATCAGTGGTTTAGTGTTGCTGCCTCTGTGCTGTCGTGGTTGGTTGTGTCTGGCTGATTGTTTGATCTACCTGTGCAGGTGTGGAGTATGGACAACATGATCTGCACCCAGACTCTGCTGAGGCACCAGGGCAGTGTAACGGCGCTGGCCGTCTCCAGGGGGCGCCTCTTCTCTGGAGCTGTGGACAGTACAGTGAAGGTCAGAGACTCGTCTGAAGTTCTTTCTCTCATTCTGCTCTTAACACAGTACTGGTTGGACGGGTTGAGGTCGGTAACCAGGCTGGTGCAGAACCGCTGACCCTTCACTGAGAGAACACAGTACCGTTCTAGAGATCAGAATCCGTGTTTTTATGATTATAAAACTACATTAAACACATTTCTGACTTCTAACTGACTTGGAACTTAAGACAAAATTTTTTTTTGTTTAATATTACTACCAATAAAATAAACCTACAATTGATGATTTTGAGTGTATTTAGCTTGTTACTGTCTCCAGTAATGTCTTGGATTTAAATAGATCATAACATAATCTTTGTAAATATCTAAGGTCTGAATTTTTAAATATACGTACAATTTAATGAAGCTTCTCTCTAGACATATGTATGTATGATACATACACACATGTGTATGCATAGGTATGTATGCATGTATCTGTGTGTATATATATATATATATATATATATATATATATATATATATATATATATATATATGTGTATATGTATGTGTGTGTGTGTGTGTGTGTGTATCATATACATACATATGTCTGCAAAGAAGTTTGTATTGTATGCCTTTATGTAAATGTTAATGTCTTGAATGAAGTTATAATAAAGTTAATTTCCAGACTCCATATATTTCAAAAGTGATCTCAATAGAGGTGACAGTATATTATTTATTACTAAATAAACTTGTTGTTCCCTAATATGTAAAATATTGAATAAAACTTCTATATACTTCTATATTACTATTACACTGTATAAGTTATTAATGTATAGAAAATCACAAGTGATTTCATACTTTTGAACAGACATACATTACACAGTAGTAGATGTACAGCAGTAAAACGACTCTGTCCTGAACTATTGAACTGTAAAAATACTTTAAACTGATAATTATTCTCAGTCCTGGTGTTGTGTATGTGGAGCCCCGCTGGCGACATCCTGTATAAATGAAAATAACGTGTGGCCACGACTTAGTAAGGCATGGGAACAAGATGATTAAGTCATGGCCATGACTTAGTAAGGGGTGGAAATGAGACCCTACTGCGTGGCCACTACTTAGGAAGGCATGATCTCGTTCCCATACCTTACTATGTGGTGGCCATGCATTAGGATCTGGTTCCCTCACATTAATAAGGCGTGGCCACTCATTATTTTTATTTTTATGGGATGTCACCAGCAGGGCTCCGTATGTGTATAAAATGTCTGAAGCAGTAATGGCTACTGTCACAACAAACCTGCATCACCATCAGGAGCTTCATAAGGAATTAAATATGTGTTTTACTGTTTTTGTGTTTGCCTGTAAAAAGGCTGTTTGGGGAATGTTTTATCTTCTTACAGTGCAGTTGTGATGTTAGCTATTCATTTTATTTGTATTTTACACTTTGCACTATATTGAATTCTGCTTTTATGATTGTAGATTATTAGATTCGTTAGATTTCTGTTTAATTACACAGTGAAAAAGTCAGGGTCTGCACTTCCTGCACACCGAACACCACCTTTTATGTCCACATCGCGCAGCTTTAGAACATCAGTTGGGTTAAACTCAGAGATGATAAAGCTGGTTTTGGAGACTGTCCTCTGTCTGACCGCTCTGTTCTCTCTTCACTGCCTCAGGTGTGGACGTGCTAAAGGAGCCGCCGTGCCAGACAGCGATGACCACACTACAGCTCTCCCTCACTTCCGACACCACACAGATCTCCGATTAACTCAGTCTGAGCTCTACGTATCATACGGTTACATTCAGATCTCATCGCTTTCAGAGGACGCAGAGCCGCCAGGACCAGGAACGTGTTTGTTTTTCTGTTTGTTATTTTTGTTTTTGTGACGTGGACACAAACTCTGGGCCGAAGAACTGGGATCACAGCTGAAGAGGCCGCTTGCCTTACGCCAAACGGTTTTTGGCCACGAACAGCTTTACAGTGGCCACCGTAACCATGACGATACTGAAACTCTGTTTTGTAAATAGACCGCCTGTTCTGATCTGTTTGAGCTCCGAGTCATGATGCTGCAGGCTCCGTTCTCCGGACAGTGACCCTCTCAGCTTGGAGCCTGGCGTCGACTGGCTACATAGGTCAAGAAACTTTGAGTTAATTCAGGAGTCGTATTACAGAAACTTCATAACCCTTAGATCTGATCTGTTCAGTCTCCATGACGACTTCAGTGCGTTAGCGCGCTCGGCTAAAGCGTTTGGGAAATGGAGACTGAAACTTGGGAGCGGCGACGCTCTGATAAACAGCAGGAGGCGCTCTCACAGTATTCACAACTTACGGTTTATCACACTTTAGTTCTGTTTGACCTTTTTTACATCAGTAACTTCAGATGCCTGGATAACTAACTTAATTATTTTGATAACGCATTTGTATTTAGCTGTGTGCAGATCGTCGGTTGCTAGGCAACAGACATGACAGTTGCTTGTCATCTTCAGTTGAGTAGTTTAAGGTTTCCTATCTGGAGATAAGATGCTGTAAAATAAGATTCCTAAATTAAGATCAAATCTGTAATACAAATTTGTGAAAATCATATCTTGAGCTAAAAGATCTTAACTTAAAACAAAAGAGAGGAAGTTTCTGTAATACGGCCCCAGGTCCAAAAAGTGAAAATCCACCCCAGGATTTTGTTCCAGCTGCCTACACACTTCTGCTGACCAGAGAAGCCAGGTGGTTGGTACAAAATCCTGGGGAGGACTTTTGCTTACCAGGTTTACAATTGAAGTAACGCCAACCGTAAAGCCTGTATGATCTCACATTCGCCGTCTGCATCAAGGTCAGAGGAAGTTCTCTCTGCTGCGCCTCATGTTTCTTGTCCTCTTTGGGCCAGATGAGCTCTGCTTCGAGGGGAGGCTGAACTGCAGTGTTTTGGAACATCAGCGTGAAGCGAGACGTCAGAAACAGAAACTGCATCTTCACAGCTGGTGATGACGGCTGGTGATGACGGCTGGTGATGACGGCTGGTGACGGCGGCTTTGCTGATTATAAGGGGATCGGTTTTTGACGTTGACGCTCTCGCTGCGCCGACTGTCGTACAGGGTTAATGTGCTGTCAGCGCGTGTAGAGCAGGACGGGCGACGGCTGAGGGCGTTGATAACGAGAGCCGCTCCTCTCTCAGCGCTGGACTGCTCCACTCCTGCTAACGTACTCTGATGCTAACTGAGCGGATGCTAATGGGCGAATGCTAATTGAGCGAATGCTAACTGAGCGAATGCTAATAAGGTGAATGCTAATGAGTGAATGCTACTGAGCGAATGCTAACTGAACGAATGCTAACTGAGCGAATGCTAATGAGCGAATGCTAATAGGGCAAATGCTACTGAGCGAATGCTAACTGAGGGAATGCTACTGAGCGAATACTACTGAGCGAATGCTAACTGAGCGTATGCTAACTGAGCGAATGGTAATAGGGCTAATCCTAATGAGCGAATGCCACTAGAGTGAATGCCACTGAGTGAATGCTACTGAGCGAATGCTACTGAGCAAATGCTAATAGGGCTAATCCTAATGAGTGAATGATAAGTGAATGCTAACTGAGTGAATGCTAATAGGGTGAATGCTAACTGAGTGAATGCTAATAGGGTGAATGCTAACTGAGCGAATGCTAATAGGGTGAATGCTGAGTGAATGCTAACTGAGTGAATGCTAACTGAGTGAATGCTAATGAGGGAATGCTAATAGGGCGAATGCTAATGAGCGAATGCTAACTGAGTGAATGCTAATGAGCGAATGCTAATAGGGTGAATGCTAACTGAGTGAATGCTAATGAGCGAATGCTAATAGGGCGAATGCTAATGAGCGAATGCTAACAGCCGCTGTGCTGTTCAGCCCTGCAGCTCCGTTCAGAGGATTTACAGTGTTCAGTTAAGTTTCGGCTCCTTCATCATGTTTGTGTGTCAGTGTTGAAAGTTTGGGGACACTTTACAGCCTATTTTACTCCAGATGCTCATGTTTTCTTTGTTGTTTACCACATTAAAGCCTAATCAGGTTTACTTAGAGAAAAACAATGTTACCCGTGTAAATATTCGCTCCAGTGAGTGACGGTGTTCGGTCTGATGAGCGTGAAGCTGAATACACAGAACATTCACAGAGCTGTTCACCATGAACTAAACCTGCACAGTGGAAATGAAGAGGTGTCCCTAAACTTTTGATTTCAGCACATCTGTCACTGGTTATTCTGCTTCACGCACTCGTTCACGACGGTCACGGAGGACAGACCTCGCCGAGTCACTCTGCGGTTCTCTGCTCTACGGCTAACATGCTAATAGATCAGTTGGAATAATTGAATACTGTAATCAGTGTGTAGTAATATAGATTCATTCAAAGCACTTATGAAGAAACAGTGGACTGAATTCACAGAAGGGAAGAGAAAAGGTCTGAAGTTTCTCTTCCAGCTCAGAGAGAAGGAAATAATTAACGGGTGCCAATGCTTAAAGGAGAATTCCACCAATTTTTCTGAATTCCTGCATAATTCAGTGTGTGGGATGTAAACAGAGAGATTCAGAGAGGTTTGGTTTGAAACGGTTCAGATGTCTTTACAGTGGTGGTGATAGGAACCAGGGGTCGCCATGACTACAACACACATATAGACATTTTATTTACTATCCAGAATCACCAGTGAACCTACACGAGTCTTCTGAGTTTATATGGAATGCTGATGATGGAAAATAGTGGGAAATCTGAAATAATAAGTTTTCTTTGAGGACTATTTTGCCTCACAGCGCCCTGCATGTATCCCTCCACCATGAATGGAGTTCTGGACGTCTGGTTCCTATCACCACCACTGTGAACAGTTGTGACTAGAACAGAGCATTTCACACCAAAACACTTTGAATTACTCTCATATTAAACATTTAATTATGCAGGAATTTTTAAAAAGTTGGTGGATTTGTCCTTTTAAAGAAATCAGAGTCAGTGTTGAATTTGCTGATGTAAGTGTTATTTTCTGCGGATTCAGTGGGGCGCCTTTTGAACAAAGTCACTAAAAGTTCTGAATGGATTTTGTTGTACTTACTAAACTCGTGTTTCTGATGTTTTTGTAGTTTTGCACCGGCTGAACTGGGTCCTCGTCTGAGATTTCGGGGGGGGGTTGGGTTTTTTCCTCCACTGCAGTTGTGGACATGATCACTTGTAAAAACCACATATGCCTGATTTTACCATTAAAGCAGTGGATATTTTGAAGTTTTTGTGTTAAATAAGTTGCCCAGAGTTTACAGAATGTACACGAGCAATGAGTCAGTGTGAGTGTCTTACTGTGTGCTTTTCACTCCCTCTGGTGCACAACCTCGGAACTGCAGGCTGCAATCCGAAAAGCACCACTGACCTTCACATACAAGCTTAATTAAAGGGGAAATTCAGAATTCCTGCATAACTAAGTGGTTAAGACGTAAACAAAGTCATTCAGAGTGGTTTGGTGTGAAACGCTCCGTTCTAGATAATCTTACCGAGTCAGAACTGTTCACAGTGGTGGTGATAGGAACCAGACGTCCACCTCTAAAAGCTCCCTCACAGAAAGTTCCTACATGAAATGGTAATGAATTCACTGCCTGAAGACTGAGACACTGTTTTATGATAGTTTGGAGAACTTAAACTCCATTCCTGGTGGAGGGATACATGCAGGGCGCTGTGAGGCAAAATAGTCCCCAAAGAAAACTGATTATTTCAGATTTTCCACTGTTTTCCATCATCAACATTCCATATAAACTCAGAAGACTCGTGTAGGTTCACTGGTGGTTCTGGATAGTAAATAAAATGTCTATATTTGTGTTGTAGTCATGGCGACCCCTGGTTCCTATCACCACCACTGTAAAGACATCTGAACCATTTCACACCAAACCACTGTGAATCACTCTGATTACATCTCACACACTGAATTATACAGAAAATGTTGAAACAAGTCAGAAAAGCAAAATAGTCACCAGTTAGCCTGATGCAAGTGACTTCATGCTAACTAGTGGCTACTACTGTCTACTCAGTATTAGCCATATTAGCTTTGCACAAGCTGTTGCTTTAATTTTTACAGGTTTCCCAGACATAATCTGCAGCGTCAGTGGTGAATCACCATATTGGGCATTGTTTTTGCTCCTTAATCCATGTCCAGGAAACTGGCCTACATTGTTTTCTATATTTTAAGTAGTAACTGGGCCAACACTGACTGTGCTACAGCATTGTTAAGATGGCAGTTTGGCAAAATCAGCTTTAGCCTGTTTTCACCTCCCTTACTCCAAATGTAGTCGACCAGCTGAGACATGTTTGGTGTCTGAAGTTTGCTGCTTTAGTTTTAGCACTAAAGCTATGAGGCTAATGTAGCTAACAAGTAATGGAAGCTTATACAGTCCATAGATATACATACCTACATGCTGCGCTGGGTCCGGCCAGGCACGTCAACGGCGCCGCCATTTTAGGGCGGTCAACATCGCTGCTGGACTGCATTCAGTACCGTTATAGAGCGGCAGTTTAATAAAGTTACTGTCCAGAATTACACTATTTCAGGAATATCACGCTCAGAAAGGGGGATATGATTATATAACGGAGGGAACGCAGTGATCCACACTCATGTCTGTGTGATGTGTATTGTCTGTGTGGTGTTTGTGTAGATATGGCCGTGTGGTTAATGAGGCACAGAGAACCTGTTGATGTGATTGTTTTTCCTCTGGTTTTATATGAAGCTCATTTAATTTAATAGTCTATTCAGGATCTTAACTTTATGTAGTAGTTATTTATCTACAGTGGAACGGGAAGACCCAACAAGAAGCTGGCGAATAGGAAGCCAACTTCAGCTCCGTCCTTCTGTGTATTAATATTAGAAGTGATTCACTCACTGATGGATTTGCTGATGTGTCTGATTGTGTTTCTCATGCTAAACTCGGTTTTTAACATCAGGTCCAGACTGAATACTTTCCTGCTGGTCCGGACAGCTAATTATCACGATCAGTTATTAAAGTAATAAAAGCTACTGAGAGCAGATCCGTGCAGCCTGGATTAATCTGTGTCTGAGGATTATAACTAAACAGATTTGGTGAAAATCGGTTGAGTAATAAGGAAGTTGAGGCTGATTTAATCCTGAGACTCTTCGTCTCTCAGTACAAGGGAATCTGTTCACAAGCGGATCTTGACCTCTCCAACATGGCGGACGCGCAAACGTATCGCCTCACATAGAGAACAACAGACAACGCGGCATCCAGGTATGGATATCTATGATGCAAATGCATGGACAAGATTTGAGCTGCTGCTGTGTTTAGCTACACTAATGTACTTCAGTCCGTGTTTATAGAGAACAGTGAGTCACAGAGTCAGAAACCACAGAATCGGGACTGTTAGAGACACTGAACTCCTCCATACAGTCTGAAGCACAAAGCTGAAGTTGGGTTCCTCTTTTCCAGCTTATTGGAATTTTCCTTTCCACCTTAAATGATGCTTTAGGTGCCCGAGTGTAACTGCTGCACCATTTAAGGTGGAATGGAACATTCAGATAAGACATGGAGTTAGCGCCATGCTAATCGCTAATGCTAAGCTTCCATTACTCTGCCATTTTTATTGAAAGAAACTTTATTACTACTGTAGTTTGAAGTATTACGACTAAAGAACACAGCACATTAACTACACTCTTAACAATGGGCTGTTTAGTAAAGACAATGGTTCTGAATAGAACCACAAACACTCAAAGAACAATTTGCATGCTTGAATGGTTCTCTGTTTGGTGAAATGTTCTTCAGATTGATGGCGAATATGCTGCCTATGGTTCCACATAGCGCCAAAAAGGGTTCTGCTATTGTTTACAATGCCAAGCTTGTTATAATAGCAGAACCCTTTTTGGCGCTACATGGAACCATTTTCAAAAATGTTCTGTATAGAACTCAATACAACTCATTCTCCATCGATCTTAAGAGCCATATCACCATGCAAAGAACCTTTTAAGCATGTAAATGAATATTTGAGTGTTCATGGTTCTGTATAGAACCACTATCTTTACTAAAGAACCCGTGAGGAAGGTTTTTGAGTGTATACAGCACATAATTCCATTTTAAATGTGCTAAACGTTAAAAACATCCCATGTTTGAGTCTGTCGTCCTTTTTATTTCTGTTAAAATGAGTTTATAAGCAGAATCGCTTGATAGAACTTACTGAGGCACCAGCATTTAGCTCTGTTAGCCTTGTAGCTCCAGCGCTAAAACTAACCTGTTTTGGTCTTTTGGCTACATTTGGGGTAAATTTTATAGTTTTAGTGAACGATTCGGTGCTGAAGCAGTGAGAACAACGAGAACAGCTGTTTGTATAGAACATTTATTTTATTTAGAGCAGGTGGTTGTTGTGCATCACTGCAAGCACACCACATTTCCCAATGCCAGTCACAGCAGGTCATATACAACATCGACACAATATACAGCCCGCACGCTCGCGCAGCAGTGCAGGAAAACTCGCCTTTTTTAAATTCTCATTTCATTTCTCTGCAAATAGGATGAAAATAAAACAATTTTACAATTTTTAACCAAAGAATATTTTGCACCAGCACACCTTTTTTTTTAATTATCTGTTTTTATCAGCAAAAAAAGGCAAAAATAAAGAGAGATAAACAACCATGACAGTAAAAATGACGATTATAAAATGCAGAACGGATGTTAATAAAAGGGGATGTAGTTTCACAGCAACACATTCAGCTATTTACAAAGCCGGAGGATGGCGGAGGAGGACGTTCAACAGCCGAATCAACACAAGAGAAGCGATCCAACTGCAGTTTCTCAGAGTTTAGAGCGGAATGAAGCTCCCACGCCGACCCAGCCAACAGCAAACACCAGTCAGGAAGAGCGGAGGAGAGTCCAAATCACAAACCAGCCCAAAACAGTGTGAAAGAACCAAAGCAAGGCACGTACATTTCTTTAAAAAAAGAAAAAACATTGCATAATATACAACTTGTCAAATCAAACTACATGAAAATTTGGCCACAAAAAGCTACTTTAATTAAAAAAAGAAAAAAAAAGATTTTAAAAATCATCTACAGTTAATTTAGTTTCACCTAAAAGCCCTCTTTAAGTTTGCACGTCATTAAATACCTTTGTTAAAACATCTTTAATAATATAATCTATGCTTATAACTTAAAATCTTAAGGATTCTCTTCGTGACCACAAGGGGGCGACACTTTGCGTAGTGGATTTTTCTTTTTTTCTGTAAATGCTCTTTCTGCCCTTTTCCTGATCGCAGACTCGTTTTAGCTCCGTCTCTTGGATGCTGTGGAGATCATCAGAAGGAGGCGGGAGATTGTCATGGCAACGAGAGATGGTGAGCATGGGGGGGCAGTTCCTGTTCACACTGCAAACCTGCTCTGAGGCTGAAGTGCCTTCAGTTAAAGCGATAGTTCTGCAAATCTGCCCCATTTCACCCCAAACATAGTTGGCCACACGTTTGATGTACTGTAAGTTTGCCTCATTAGTTTTAGCGCTAAAGCTACGAGGCTAATGTAGCTAACCGGTCGCCGAAGCCTACACTGATGATTTGATGATGTAAGACCAAAAAAAGATTCACTGTAGGTCTCCAGGTATTTTCAAAGCAATTTCTATGACTAAATAAGCACTTCAT